ATCGGTGCAAAGTTCACCAACTGATAGCGAAGCCACGAATGCGTTTGTCTCTAAACAACCCGCAACATCATGTCCTGTAATCGCAACAATTATGAAATTTTGGCTGGAAATTTTGTGCTTGTATGTTTTAAGCTGATCGACACCGATAAGTGACAAGGGGGGGGGGGTCGCCCAAAGTTCAGCCTGCCTTGCATGAACCAAAGCCAGAATTAAATAAAAACTCTGATGGGACCACTAGAGGGTGCCAAATAAAGTTTTGGCGACACTTTCCCAAAAGAAAACTATAGGCTAAGCCAAAGTTGGAAAGTTTGCCAAGAGCCCAGGCTCGGTAATTCACTACCACGAGCGCATCAAATATCCCACACCGTCTCTCATTGTTTTGTTTGTTTATTTTATTTGTTTGCTTGTTTTTTTTTAATAAAAATAATAGATAGGTGTTTTGGTCAGTTTAATTTGCGTTCCTTCCAAAGCGTGTAAAAGCCTCGCATAATACGAAATTTCCAGTTTTTTCCCGAAAACGTGATGTTGCCCCCTCCACCCAAAATATTGTTATGGCTGGTAATGCCCTTGATTCGTTATTTTGATTTTAATCTGTATCAAGGAAAAACACAAAATTAATCAAAATATGACAAGATGACGAAGTAAAAACAAACAGGGTGTGTTTCATAAGAAAAAACCTGTCGAGAACAATAGGTCATAAGCGACAACGTTTTTATCATTCCTCCAAGAAATCATCCCCGCTCCTTCAACTGCACATTCTACTTTTAACCCAGGACGGCAACCTTTTTTTTTACAACCAATTTATTTTATGGCATTTGCTAATGGACAAGATGATGCGATTTTTCCTCAGATCTGATCATTAGACCGATGAATCACACAAGCTTACGGCGGTCCCTGTCAAATCCCGACAGCAATGCCGTGTTTGGGTTGTGGAGAGCCCTGATGCCCTCCCAAAACGCGCCTCGTGTACTGATCGTATAGGTTCATCTGGGAAAGGTAAAAATTCGCATGCAGCCACAATCTGCATACTGATTACCTTAAGGACTGTAGTCCAACTACTGTCTTGGGTGCCATGACAATTGTCTCAGCCGATTTAGGACCTGATAAAATTAATAGAAACGTTTGGATCCATCATTACTACAGATATCAAGATGCCTTGCTCGAGGCTGAAAGAAATGCTACACGACACAAACCCGTAACTGTCGATAACTATTATGAACGATGTCTCAAATGGGTAATTACAGGCCAGACAAAATTGATATAAATATTGAGGTTGATCATTCGAACAAAGTAGAAGTTGTTTCGCCGAAGGGCCACGTACGGCATTACTTCACAGTGCCAATGTAGACAATGCCTATAGTCTGTTTAATTACAAGACAACATTGATCAAAATCTGCATTTATCATCATTACAGACACAGTCAAGCTGAGTCGAGACATTTCAAAATCTAGATATTTAGACGGGAAGAGATGTGGCTTTTCATCTTTTACACATCAGACATGCCAGCGTTAGCTTTGAAGATATTTTAAATGAGTTTAACTTTAAAAATGTTTCACGGTAAAAACACTTAAAATCGTATACAACTTGTACATGAAAATCATTAATTCAAAGAAAAAAAGCAGTCCAGTGCTCTAGATTTCAAGTATAAGGTCGAAGCTATCAGTTTAATAGGGTGTAAGTTTATTTAAAAGGGGGGCGGAGATAGAAGTCAATATCGACGCCCGCGGCCAATATTGTTCCTGATCTCGATAGGTTGGTCACATCAACAATTCGGAAACTTTGGATGCTTTTTTGGCTGCGAAATAAGGATGAACTTTAAATTTCATACATTTCCTGAAATTGCTATTGCAGTAAATATAGGCCCCCCCACAAAAAAGGTCGGTGAATCCGTATAATACAAATATCTTTAACAGAGGCCCGCAGAACATGTTTGACATGTGACTTAACTCTATTCATATTCAATGTCTTTCAAGCTTGTAAAAGGAAACTTAACCTTAAAAGTTAATGGCGCAACGTGAATAAAATGTTTGCCCCAAAACTCGTAAGTCTAATCCTAAACGGATCTGGAACCCAATTTTCGTAAGACTTAAACGAATCGGAAATTTCTTTATGGAACGTTTTATGGCCTTTCGAAGGGTCAAGTTAAATGTAGGGGGCTTTTGACACACTTTCAGGAGGTAGAACATCTTTTGCTGAGGGACTGCCGCCACGGTTTCCCCCCGGGGACCACCAGTGCTTCTAATCATGACAACTTAGGGAGAATCTAGAGGAGGCCCCTACTCCGCCCTTCCCCAGGGTTGGTGTTTGCCAGCGCCAACAGCATGCAGCAGGATGGTGTTTGCGAGGGCGCCATTTCTCTTTAACAGCTTTTTCACTGCACGATATTGAATTGGCGAGTTGAACGACTTGAATTCAGGCTAGTCCCTTACGATACGCCGGCCGCCGCTCACTCTGTATCACCAACTTTTGATTGCAGTTTGTGAAAGAAGTATATTCTTCAAAATGTCGATGTTAAGGAACATTCTTAGGTTATCTGGTTCCGTAAAAGTGTGTAGAAGCACGTTCAGAGTTTCACAGTCGCTTAGATACTATGCAGAAGACGCAGCAAAGCCGGCGGCGGCGACGCAAATGTCATTTTCATTCGGCATGCCGGGACAGGTAAAGCTAAAAGTTGTGCACAGCATGGAATACATGTACGACAGTCGGCTTGTAATTCCGACAGTTTCCGATAGTTTGCACAATCCGTTAATAGAGGTTTGGTATCTGTAAACCAATGGCAGATCATTGATAGTGATCCAGATCTTGATGAAACAAACACGGCCTGGATCTTGATCAGTGATCCCAAAGCTGGTTCGTGCTATCCATTAGGTAGGTTCCGGAGTCAGTGATCCGGATCTGCATGAAACAGACAGGCCCATAGAGTCGTACATTTATTAGAAATATATCTGCAATAATAGTAGGATCCCAGACAAAATGATAATCAGGGAAAATAAGGATTTTGAAATTACCCCCAAAACTACTAGTTTATACTGAAATTGTAGCTTTTACTCAAGGCAACAGCTTGACTGGTGCCAGACAAATTGATACTTCAAAGGGATTGGGAACCCCAACACTGCCAGCCTAGCCCGAGAGAACGCCAGCCATCATGACTTTCTTTAAAAATCACAGTTTGAGGCACATAATTGCGCACGTTCAAAGATTGCGCTCAACCTTATCTGAGCAGATTTGATATGCGCAACCTAATTGCTGAAGGAAAATTTCTCAAGTTGCGCAAATTTGAAATTTCCGAACTTTCAAATATTGCGCTGAATGGTGCTGTCTGTCTAGAACCCGTAAAATAAATTAAGCCCAAGTGGCAATAATACATGTACAACAGTAGTGGAATTCTGGCATCATCGATTTCGTTCAACAGATGTTTTACAACAATGCTGACGTGAAGCAGGTCGATGTACCCTCAGGAACCGGCACCTTTGGCATTCTGGCCCAACATGTCCCCTCCCTGGCTGTCTTGAAGCCTGGTGTGATCAGTGTACACGAACACGATGGCACCATCAGCAAATATTTTGGTAAATCAATGCACAAGAAGATGATTATTGTAACTAACCACACGGCTAGTTGGAACCGTTGCTTATTTATTCTGCACACCAGTTTATGGACAGTATGGAAGAGTACGTTCTCAGCGGTCTTAAAGAGAGTTATGAGAGACATTACACAGTGTGGCCAGAACCATTGCAAAAATGCTGTGTGATTGTGCTCATTTAGACGAAAATTAGCTGCTCATTCTGAGCCATAGTTTACCCATGATTATTGTTCTCCTTTACTAGAACTGTCGTGTGTGCAAATGGTTTCATGTACATGTACTCGACATTCATCCACTGTTACTGCATTGAATCCATGAGAAAATGTAGTGATGTAGTTTTTGACTTCAAGTTGCTGTGTCTTCAAATCTTGAGACAAAAGTTGGCGTCTTTGTTGTTGCAGCAAGTAGCGGTTCCGTGACGGTAAACGCCGATTCATCTGTGCAGATCCTAGCAGAGATGGCCGTACCCGTGGACCATCTAGACCCGGCAGTAAGTGAAAATCTGTGTTGGAACAGACATCAGCCCTCTCCCTGCCAAACGCGAGAAACTTCAAAACTACACAAAACTGGGATCTTAATTTCGCAAAGTACTCGATAGCAGAAGCATACATTTCCAATGTTGAGATAATGGGAGAGGTCTCGGGGATCCTGCGGTGGCTGGCAGGCACTCACAGGCCATTTGACCCAGGGATAATTGACCAGTTACCCTGAGTAGAGTACAAGATCTAGCGCCACTCAACAGTTGGCACGAAAGTTGTGCTTAGTGTAGCAGAAAAATTAATGCTGTTTAAGTACATGTACGACTTCATCATGTTGATGCAGGGTTTCAAACCAAAGTAGGGGGGGCTTAGCGGGTATGTTATTTACAATGGCTTGGATGTGTACATGTATTCTTACCAGCCCACTTTAAGTTAGTAGTGCAAGACTGAACATTTGTTGCTTCCTTCCGGCAGGCCGTCAAAGAAGGCTTGTCCAAAGCCCAGCAAGAGCTCGCAGCTGCCAGCACTGACCTCGCGAGGGCAGAAGCTCAGATAGCTATTGAGGCACATGAGGCCATGGATCAAGCCATTGCAGGCAAATAGAGCCTTGCATTCTGTCTTCTAGCGTATAGGATTGTGGTAAGCATTTTAGCCATATCTAGACAGCTCTATCATCTTTCAGCCCTGTATGAAGAGAGAACTGAACTTCTTTTCATGCAACTGAAAGTAGATTCTTAAATAGACGTAGCAGTGTTATGTGGTCAGTGGATACTTCAAAGCCTTATCACTGAACTCGTTTAGGAAAACGTAACTTGCAGGCAATATTTCAAAAAAAGGTTTCAGATGAAACAAGAATGATCCCAGTTTGAGATATTTCCAAGGTGAAATTCCCTGCATTACTTACTTTGTGTATTTTGTGTATTTTATCCCATTTCCACAGTTTTGTTGGCTGGATTTTACAATGGAAGGACTTAGATATGGGTGGAAGTCGGCAAGCTGTTTTCCCTGCTCGAGAGTGACAGACATCCCTGAGTTGACTTAGAGCCAGAGCAATGTGTCAGATGAGAAATGGCAGATTTTTGTTTGAGTTCAAATTAACACCACTTCGTCACCGTTACTGTTATTTATTTTAACAGATCAGTCCCAGCCTAATCAATTCCCCATGAAAAGCAGATTCACTCTTTATCAATTTCTGCACCTTTTAGGTTCCATCTTTTGGTGTTAGAAAACTTCATGTTGAACATTTTCACACTGGATAAGGATCAATAAAGATGGTAACTTCCCCTTCCGTGGCCAAATAGTGACTGGTCAGAAGCGTAGGATACATCGCCATTCATGCATTGAAGAAAAAAATGTCAGAATTGCGGATTTAATTAAATCTTGCTTTAATCTGCAGAAATCCGTGTTTTTTTTTCTTCCTCTGTCCACTGTTACTGAGATAGGCATGTGATTTTTCAGTGTGAAAATAGATTTTACGACAAATAAAATACCTGTTGAAATACATGTATTCGGTCTGTATCCTTTTGTACTGAGGTGAACAGCCAGTCAAGTGAGTTCTTTAAAAAAGTCCTCAATCCTTCATCTGTTCAAAGATTGAGGTCTGTTCGGGTTAATAAGCAGTGGTGCATGTGAAACATTGACAAAGCTAGTGGGGGGAATCTAGTCTTAAAGTTGCGCGTGTGGCAGGGGTCCAGTAGCCACCTTGTGCCGGTCACAGCTGCAAGTATTTCGGTGCGGAACGGGTCACCAAAAGGACAGAAATTGTTTCCAGATCTGTGACCGACCTTCCTACAGCTTGAAGGTGGGCACGGGAAGGACGCAAAAGGCATTTTTATTCGAAAACAAAACTGGACGACGCCATCTCTGAATGTTGGCAAACTGGTTTAAGAACTTTATCCTAACAAATCATAAAATGCATTCACATTCAATCCAAATAATTAATTGAGCCTATCAAGAAATAAATGCAAATTCAGATAGTGGCTATGTAATGTTCCTTCGTATCGACCTTTTGAAAATCTGCAGACTTGCAAATAGAACTGACGCACTTGAAAGTAACGATCATCGGCCAGCTGTTGATTAAATGGAAAATTAACTTATTCAACGCTATACTTATCAATTAAGTTAAATCAAACTTGGAACAAGTGCCTTTGTGTGCCGTGCACTGTTTGGTGGCACTCAAATAAGTCACAACGCACCTGTGGCGCTCCATATTATGTTGCATCTAGGGTTGGAATCCAAACAAATGGTTACTTGCAACAGGTGTGTCGGTTTTGTGACAGGTGGAAATTAAAATTTTGCAAGAGTATGTACGTGTACTTGCATATGCACACCAAATGCTAAGAGAAGGAGTTGAGCATTGCTCGCAGGTACGGACATACACTTTCTGGCATTGACGGAGGTCTGATACCGTGGATACAAATTTTATGTCAATGACCACAGGAATTAAATGTATACAAATTAACTTAACACTACACAAAATGGTATCATGCAATTTGAAAACTTGAAGAGCTACAACATCCATTTCTTTTTTACAATTTACTTTGAAAACGGCTGAGTGGTTTGGGATTTCAGCTAAAAATCGGATAGACCTATCTTCTGTTTTGAGATATTGAACCAATCTGAGGGATGCACACTGCGTCTACTCGGCACACTTTGGGGTTGGAAGCCAAATCTGGAGCATGTGGTGGTTTGGTGACGTTGCAAGTTCCGGAGGTGTGTTCATGCATGACGACTGACGTACAACGGGGAAAGGATCAACTGAAGTAACAAAAGCCTGAGTGTTCACGTCATTTCACATGCTTGAAGACCTTCTCTGCAGCCTGCAGGAAAACACGGAGAGGCAAAAACATTTGCCATGTGGAGATGAGAAAAGGTTTGCATATGAGAAATAAAGCCATCGGTTGTGAGGTCCTGTATGCATCACGGTACTTGCCACATGCACTTGGCACTGATTTTCTCATTTAAAATAATCCATAATGTGCAATGCATGTACATGTACTTGCAGCTTTTATGACTGGATTACACGATTGGCTTTCACACCCTCAGGGGTTAAAAAAGCCATGCCCCATACCAAACCAGTCCGCAAATGATCAATTCTGGAATAATGTTCACCCTGACCATTACAGATTCTTTTTGGAATCTAAGGAGGACTTTGCAGGTTTGAGGAAGGGCAGAGCCCAGCCACTACTTTATAAGGGTTTTGACGCTCCAATGAAGTTTTGAGTACCAAGAGTGTACCCACTGGTCTCTTGCACAAAGGAAGGGGGGGGATTAAAGATTCCCAGCAAGAGTTAGGGTTGAGAACCGGTACAAGTGCACTCTAAGGCCAAGTCATTTCAAATTATTATACATTTACATGTATATTTGAATAGTCGACCATCCATTAGATTGAATATTCAAGTATTAGGTTATGCCAAATTCTCAAACTAGCAGAAATAAAATGCGCATGCTCGTGTGACGGTCTGCATCACTTGGTGCCAGGACGGGGATCCGGTCTCTACTAAGAAGAGCGGGCTTGGAATCCAATTGATATTCCGTCCTAAATGTTGATTTATGCCCACTGTCTATGACAGATCACACATCACAAAAAAAAAACTGAAAAGCCAAAACTTGAAGTTGAAGGAAAAGAAATCTTCTGAACTTATTGCTGGGCATATGCCTTTCCCTTTCAATTTACCCATGCCACCTTGAAAAAAGGTTTCAGAGGGCAACTTTGTAACCAATTACATGTATCTGAGTTTTCTGTTTTCGGTTAACCTGTTTTCACATTCGAATATTCAATTTTGAAAATAGATATCAAATACATGTAGAATATTTGACTACAATATTCAACATAGCCACAGGCCACTCTTCAATGGTCACATGTCCCCAAGATATCTGGTTAATGGCATGTCCTCCCCAGGGTAAGTCCTCCCCAGGGTAAGTCCTCCCCAGGGTAAGTCCTCCCCAGGGTAAGTCCTCCCTCCCCAAGAGGGGTTGCCAATTTTTATTGTTCCTTATTCCCCCCCCCCCCCGATTGAAACCACACGTCAGCATTTTAGAAACGTTTTAGAAATGGTACAAGTAAAGCAAAAAACTGGACGGTTGTTTTGGGGGAAAAAATCCATTCCCCTCCCCCACTACCCTGGACAACCCACTCCACTCCACTTGGTGCACACTCACACAGTGGTCAACGCAGTGCAAGAAATCAAACAGCTCCTGGGTGCAGGTCTCCTCCGTGTGGCTGCGGCCGGTCACCCGCTCCGTGCAGGCCTCCAGCTCCTGCTTGAACCCCGCGCAGTGGCCGTCCTGACGGCAGTTTTCCATGACCTCCTCGCGGGGATCCTAATCAGAGACAGCAGACCGATTCACGCGATAACGTACGGTGGATTGGCACATTAAGTGTGGCGCTACGTGGATTGCAAATGGACTTTCAAAAAAAAAAAAAAAAAACCAACCATGAAACCCTCTAGTCTGAGACGGAATTCCAAGACGAACATCATACAAATTGAAATATAAGAAACTTCCCTCGGGAACAACGTTGACGGCTTCCAGCACCTTGAGGAACTAATACGCACCTTGAGGAACTAATACGGACCATCCAACCGAAACAAAACCATGTAATATTGGTTTCACTATGCCTCATGAGCATTCAATTATTCTCTGTGAAATACATGTACAATCATTTGCAATAGTTTAAGACCACCTGGAATTTTATTGGTATTTCTATCACAGGGCCTGCATTACATTGTCTCATTGAATGATTACTTAACATGTTTTTACAGTGGTGCATAACATCAGTGTAGTGCTATATACCCATTTGAATGAGTTTTTTTGCAAAGGCAGGTCTTGTATGACATTTTGTCTGTAAAGCAGCTTGGGTAAAAAAAAAAGCCAATCTAAGTAATTAGAAATAAAGGAGAATACACTAAACATTAGACTGTTAACATTTCAAATCGTGGAAATGTAGTCAAATAACTGTGTAACCAAGATACTAAGCTTACACATTGAAAATAAACATAATTTGCCATGATTGATTGGTTTAAGTTTGGTTTTTTCTTCAGGTGAAAGCATTTTGTATGGGTGGTCCTAAACTTTTGCAAATGACTGCACAATGCAATTCCATGTGATGCCATTGTTTCATGTGTATGTGGTACCACGTACGCGCAGCTAGAACGATGTTCACCAGTGTGTACACATGTGCACCACATCCATGCGACAGTTCCTTGATTGCCTTGTAAAACGCATGCCCAGATGTACTGGCACGAGTACCCGTGCGACAGTTGATCAGGGCATGTGCGTTTACTTCCCGCGTGAAAGCTCACGCGCGCCCTTGGCAAACAGTTAAAACAGCGGATGGCGCGCGAGGGTGAATGGTCCAATGAGAATTTAGCTCTCGATCGGTGACATTTACGAGGTATAACAAAATCAAAATGTACTGTTTTTCATGGATGTCGACGGTGAGGACAGCCAGTTCTGAAGTGACTCAATCCCCACTGCCTGGGCTGGCTTGTCCATGTGTTAGCCTGAAGCCAACACAAACACTGTCGGTGACAAAAGTCCCCGCCCCAACCTGGGACCTGAAATACGTGATTAAACCCCAACAAAAGTTCTTGAACAGCTGGGGGGGGCCGGGAAGTAAACTTTTCTTTTACCACTAAATCTTCTTCCTCCTCTTCCTCTTCTTCTTCCTCTTCCTGAAAAGACAAAAATGAAAAGACAAAATTAAACAAGAACTGCTTCGAACGTCGACACTTCTTCTCCAAGAATCCAAATCCCAACCAATGACAACCGAATGGTTGGAACTCCTGATCTGAGCGTGCATACTCAAGGTATACCGCATGACAAAAGAGTTCACGGTTCCTGCACCTAAAGGACAATTAAATTCCAGGACCGATTTAAGAAAATCCCCGACCCAATAACTGAATTTCTTGGACTATTCAGACTTTAAAGTTGCGAATAAAATCGTGCTTTTTATGAACTTTTTTATCTGATAATAGAAATCACACAGTGTTTGAAAGATTCCATGACTTTTCCATGACTTTAGTCATTTTTACAACATTCCATGACTTTTCCAGGTCTGAAAAATGAAAACAAATTTCTATGACTTTTTCATGACTTTTCCAGGCAGCAGGAACCCTGGATTTGTCAAAGTGCATATGCCTCTTGTAATGCAAAGGCTCTGTTTAGCATTTTGGGGAGATGAAGCCTATGCGAATGGTAACTGACTATGTCTAGTGTGGGTCAACATGCTGGGGAAATTTCGGCTTAAAAATACAATCCGGAAAGAGTGTTCTATGCTGACGCCACGTTCATCTTCGTATAATATCGCGCAGTGAGGCTCGGGAATAAATAATGTTCAAAAGATGTGAATCCGAAATGGCAAACATCTTCAAATTCTTTCAGACGTCCGTTCAGTTAGAAAAGTTTGCCGACTCTCTTCAGAAGAATAATGAGGCATGCACTCGCCTCAATCCCAAATTGTGAATTTTCAGACGTCATGAGCAAGAGGGCTTAAGTTAGGCCTTCTCGAAATAACAATAACCTTGTTGGTGCTCTGCAAGTAAGGTTAGGCCTACAAACATGTACATGATGTTCACACATCATTCAGTAATGCTAAAACATGCATGCCGAAGACAAAAAAGGTGCTTATGAAAATAGGGCACACACAGGTAACACACTTAAGCGGGAAAACCTACCTACATGTGTAGGCCTACAGTAACTTCACATCAGCAGTTTGTATTGTGTGAATAATTTGGCTAACCCACCAAAAATTGAAAAGAGAAAGACTAGCACTGACTGGGGACAATGCCATGAAGACAATAGGCCTAATTTAATTGTTGTTTGACGTGTTCAAAAAACTCCAGTAATGTCGGCTTGCAATGTTACTGAGGATGTCGAATAACTTGACCGTTTGCCAACTCGACTTCTGACAACTCGACCGTTGAGACAAGTTGTCTGCTCAGCCAAGTCATCTGCTAAAACGACCATGTGAAATACTTTGCCTTAATAATTAATAATGCCATGGGAGGGAATTTCATGTACTGATGTAGTAGGGCCTAGGCCCCAAATAATTGAAATAGACAAGCCTAATTTCTGAGGTATATTAGAAATGGTTGCCGCAGTAAGTCGATTTTTGCACAATCTATTCATCTTCACCCTAGCCACGTAGTAGTTCCAGATTTTTCCTAGTTCCCACAGTCATGAAAGTTCTGGGGCCAGTGGGGGTATGCCGCGCGCTCCCCCCCCCACCATGACCATGATGACATGCATGAACGCGGCGCGGACGTCGATCAGCGTTGGATTGTAAAAGATAGATCTTACTTAGGCTACTTTACGAATTCATGAAGTATAAAAAAACCCTGAAAGTACACATGATTACATAAGCAAAAAAATCCACCGTTTCTTCAGTCTTAAAAGCTTGGATTATTTACCTCAGGAGGATCGTTCTCGAAAAGTCGTTCGTCGTCGATCGCCATGTTGCACCAAGAGCTGTATATTGGGCCCTACCGGTGTTTGCTAATAACACATTGCATCCGATTGGTTAGGAAGCTTCGCTACTCTATCTCGGATCCAATGAAAATTGCCTTATCTTTCGATGCTGGTATCTACGAAATTTATACCACTTGAGGGCGCTATTAACACTACCCGCATAAACGAGAAAAATCTGCAAACTTTCGTCGAATCAAAATGCAAGGTATGTTTTAATTTTTATGTGATAAAAACTGGCTGATGTCCTTATAACATTTGGTAAGCGTTCAAATCTTTCCCCGCATTTGCAATAATGTGTCATTTTGAAAATCCAGACGGCGCACTGCCAAGGCAGGTTAAGACTAATAACAGGATGAGTGTATAGCCTGGGGGTGTGTTTCAAAAGAAAAGTTTTTAATTAAAAGCTGGCCTATCAATTTACACGGTTTTAATTATGCCAGGGAAGAAACCTTCCATCTCCCAGTTTGTAACAATTTTCCTTGTTTCATCTCTTAAATCTCATCTTTTCCAGACCTAGTTAGCATGGTTAGCCTCATAACCTACTATTATTTTAATTTCCAATTCTGTATTACTTGAACTTCAATACTAGGCCTACATACTTTATGCGAGAGTTCGATTTTATATGATACAACCTCTTTTCCTGGTGAGGGGAGTCCAGTTTAGGCTTAGCATAAAAAGAACCGAAGCACAGGTAAAACAAGACCAAAAAACCCATAATAACTGAGCACAACTATGTTATCTTGATATATGCATGTAGAATTGCACTGTGCAATTTTTTAATGTAGTCTTTTACATTATGTACAAGTTGGTTTAGAATACATGTACATGTATACAGCATAAACTAAAAATCAGGCCAGCTTCGATTATAAAAGCTACAAACATGAAGCTGTGAATGGATCTGCCCTTCTGATGGTGCAAATAATAAAAACGCGTAGAGCTGCAGCTAAAGCTGTGTGTAGATAGAGAGCACAGTCCTTCCTTGCTCTGTGATTTCAGTGACAAGGTGAACGTTTCGCGAAAAGCATTAAAAATAGATTGACGCGCCGCACACAAGCCGGACATTTTGTTGTGAAAATAGGGAAAGAATACGTATTCTAAACTACATGTGCGTGCTTATGCAATCTGAAGACCACATGTTCACGGGAAATATGTTTGTAGGATCTTAGTTATTACAAAAGATGAAGAAAAAAGCACTTTCAAATGTATGCAAGTGGAAACAACAACTGGTCACAAGTTATTACGTTACTGACAAAAATAAAACGAAAGGGTTTTAAGATTATGGAGCTGCATGTAAAAGGTCTTGCACAGTGATTACTTGCTGACAAAATTGGCATTAAATGGAGGGGTTACTCTTTCAAAATATTACAAAATGCCAAAATTGACCTCCGCTTCAGTATTTGACTTTGAACCCTCAAAACCGGAAAGAGCAGAATGCGACTTCACGCTCATTTTGTCGTGCCAGGTCACACATGTGAGGTGCTGATTTAAATCAGGGAGTAAAGTGACTGAAACAATGCAGGTGTGGACGGGGGGGGGGTTGAACCCCCATTCTTAGACATAAAAAGTAAGAAAATGGGGAAAAGAGTTATTATGAGAGTGCGATTGGAACACAGAATAAAGTAGTGCTTTTGTGTTCTCACTGTATTATTCTGCATTCCAAGGAGCGCGGGAGTGATGACCAATTTATCTTCAAGCAGTGGACTTAGTTTATCTTGTTGCCGAGCTTTCGGTAACTGTGTACCTTCGTCAGTTCAGCTTGCCCGAATCTGCTTACCAGTTCCCATGGAACTGGTGGGGACCGTCGACCACAGACTTCTAGTCTGTTTGGCCTTGGGGAGAGTTGACCTGTTGGATCTCGATACCCTTGGCGGCAAGCCACTTTGACAGATGGTGCGGACCGATGTGCGTGGCAGGGTTTCTAGCCAGAATACCCTGGAGGGTTTAGGGTTAAGCCAGGAAATGGAAGCAAAGCTACACTGTACAAATATATTAATGTTATGTATCAGGCTTGTATTATGCAAGCGTGTTATGCATAGCGCTGTTCACATCCACTGTCACCGAGCCCCTTTGGGGTCGACGCGCACACTGTCCTAACGAATGCTCTGCCGTAGCTTGAGGGCGCTAGACGGGCCACTGGACGTGCTGCTCTTCTTGGCCGTCTTCCGCTGCTGGTCGGTCTGGAAGCACTTCCACAACCGTAGTGTCTCGTCGCCGGCCGCCGTGGCTACTGTGGTGCCATCGGGACTCATGCACATGTGCAGGATGCGTGACGTGTGACCTGTGTAATTTTGTAAGGGGGAAACGGATTGGCGGAAAATGTTTAAGGCACTCTGAAATAATGGAATTTTTTTTTTAATGGAAACCCAAGTACATGTATTTTTCTCAAATCATTTTTTTTCCTTTTAATTCAAAAGTACAGACTAATGTTGACAAAGGGTTTTTGAAAAGCAACTTTTATTTTACTAGAATAAAGCAACTTTATTTTATTAGAATGAAGCAGTTGCTGAAATTCCTTAGCAAAGCTGTGATGTCATGTTACACTGAATATTCAATTTTCAGTGCAAATCCAAATCTCTGTCATTTCACAGTTGAATTTGTAAGCATCTGGAAAAACGTGCTAACAAAAATGTCAAAAATGTAAACTGGTGAGGCATTCATCTGGGACTCCGTGCATGCCAGCACCAACATGAAATGTCACTAAAACTGAGTCTCATGATACGGGCCAAAGCACAGATTTGGGGATTACCGAGGAGCTCAGCTATTCTGCTCATGGTGGGGTATTTCCAGATGATGAGTTGATTCTGGGCAAAGCCGTGGGCCGACACCAACTCCCGGTGCTCTTTCGACCAGAGGACGGCACACACCTGGCCAGAAAACAATACCCCAAAATACTCGTTCATTGCCTTTTCTGGTCGTCAACTTTCTGGTAGCAACATCAGGGATGACGAGGGTTTCTTTTTTCATTGTTTTCATTCCTGATAATACAAGATTTCTGTTATAACAAGGGAATTTGCCAAGTCCAAAGGACCTCTTATGAAAGAGTTTTCGACTGTATAATGTTGCAATTCCATAACTGATTATTGCGATTCACAGAAGATGTACAAAAAAAAAAATTACAAAAGAAACTATACAACTGTATCTTCTTTATAAAAAAATTACAAGAGAAAAAATTGAGGGAACCCAAAACAACAGCCCAAAAAAAATCAGTCAAAAAGGTGCATTTTCAGAGGATGCGTGAAAAACTCAGGGCTAGGAGCCAATAGAAGGATAGGACATCCCAAGGTCTATATGGGGGCAGAGAAAGAGGTACCATACCTGTGATTTTGTGTCCACGCTGTTCAGGCAAGTGCCGCTGTTGACGTTCCAGAAGCGCAGATGTCTGTCTGCCGTGCCTCCTCCACTGACCAGGACACTGGGTTGCCAGGGGCACCAGGCCAGGGCCTGTATGGGGGAGGGGGGGAGAAAGAGATTGATTAATGTGATGTAACCAATCATCATCAGTTGCTAGTGGACGCAATAAGCCTTTTGCGAGTTAAATGTGAATAAAATCTGGTACACGGAGTTCTTTCAATTCACGTGATCATAACAATTAGAATTCTCCATACTAAAGATACTGTTGCTTTACCTCGGGATTCGGGGGAAGGTTTTGCTTAGTCACATAACAGACACCTTGCACCAATACACTGTTCTCAATGGATAAGAAGGACATAAGGAACCAGTCCACTCCAGAGATGGTGGTCGCTATGCAATAGCTTGCCCCGAATCACGAGGTATTGCAACAGTATCTTTAGACTGGGGAATTCATAATGTTTCGTTGATGTGCAATCAGATATATCAGTGAAACCAGACTTTATTCAAACTTAACTTGAAAAACGTTTGTTGGTGCTGTGACTTGGTCATCAGTGAGCACGCTTGCCGTCTGACTGTTCTTGGGGCTTACTGTGAGTAGCTGCTGCAACACGTTGACTCTAGATACACTCGTAAACGGTTGCTGAAATTTTCTGACTGGAAGGAACAAGTTTGGTATTCTAACAGTGCATGCTCAAAATGAGGTGCGTCGCAGGTCTTTCGAGAACATCAATATCCAAGCATGAGGTTGGCCTTATCAGGGTGCCGGTATGCTGACTCACACGCGCTGAACATGTTTGATTGGACGGAAATACCAAACTCAGTTAAATTGCAGGAGTAAGCCTCTTAACCATATACTGCCTGGGTAACCCGGTTTCGGGCACAGCTTTATACTTGAAAGCGGGGAGCCCGAAACCGGACAAAAGAGCTGGGCCTTGTAGCAAAAGACCGTACTCAGAACAAAAGACCGGGCTGCTGGGAATTGCCAACATATTTATGCCACTGTTCGTGGCATTCAGCACGAGTGGATTACCACCAGGGACAAAAACGCTCCAGTGATGAGCACCCTAATCTCGCCCCCATTGAAAAGACGCCAGTAGCGCACTGTGCCAATTTCGAGAACAAAAGAAAGTCACATAACACTGCACAATCTGGGCTCTTTTTACAAGGCAGCAGGCCTGGCTGAATTACTTGGGCATCTATAGATGTTGTCTGTCAGATTAGAGTAGTCACCAGACAGATATTCGTGTGGGTGTAAACATCCAGTAAATGAAGCTGTGATTTTTTGAAGAATTTTGAAAACTGGAATATCTTTAAAAATCACCCGGTTTTACATCATGCAACTCCAAATTCCACCTGGCAGAAAGCGGATAAATTTGGACCTTTTCCAGGGGATGCCCCATCCCTCCCAGTGGTGCCTTTAACAAGCCTTACACTGATCCCCCGTTATGTTCTCTCCAACTGCAAACAACCAGATCCATCCCTGGGTTTCACATAGTTGGATCAGCAACCATTTGTTGACCACTGTTTGATTTTTTTTCCCTGTAACCTGTGCGCATAACATATTCAGGGGAACCAGGCAAAATTGATCAGTCAATGACTGGTGGTCGCTGTTCGATCACCTTGACAGCAGCCTGGTGCTGGGTGAAGGTGTGGACCGGCGTGGTGGGGTCGCCGTGCGATGCCGCCGGCCAGATGTTCAGCAAGTTGTCATTGCCCCCGCTGGCCAGGTAGCGGCCCTCAGGCGACCATTTCAGCCCGCACACCTCCTGGGTGTGGCCCGTGAGGGTAGCCACCTGGTGGTTCTGGACCCGGACGTCGTGGTGGTGGATGGCCCCCGAGCGTGAACCGCTGGCAAGTGGGAAGATTGCGGAAAGAGACACTGAGAACTCTCTAATGTTAAATACCGTGCTTAAAGGAAAACAGGATATTTGTGCATCACGTTGAAAATTGCGTGCATGGATTCTCGTGTGTGTAATATAAATAGCAGCAATGTTGGACTGTCCTTATATGTTATTCGTAAATGTACCTAAGCCACTTTAACCATTCCTATTGGCCAAGAGCCCATCAGGTGGCAGGTCTTTACCACTTCCTGCCAGGGATTTCCAACATTTTTTCACTCTCAATAGTGGAGATAATCCAGCCTTGTTTTGAAACAGTATACCACGGTTTGGGGCATTTATGTTAAAAACTGCCTATCCGTATTTCTGAATGCCAATTCACTTGGGATAACATTTTAAATCTTTATTTGCCAGGCCGAGTATTAAAGGATTTTGAAATACACGCGAGGGGTTTGGAACTTTTGTACTGCCTGCCCTGAATACCTTTTGCCCGTTGGCTAGATGAGACACTACACTGGAGGTGATAAAATAAGTAAGGCACCAACCTGCTGAGGATGAAGCTATTCCAGGCGAGGGAACCCACTCTAGCAGCGTGACCCAGCATGTTACGTAACCGTTTGGTAGCAGCCACATCCCAAAGCTGAAAGCGGAAATGGAACGGTTGGCTTAACAATTCTAAATCATAAGGAGTCACTAGGTAAAGCGGGGTACTAAAGACAGTACACCTTGGTTAATTGTGGTTAAATGCTTTTTTTTTAATGCCTTCTTAGAAGTGCAATTTTTTCTAAACAGAGTGGTAAACAAACATTTGACATTTTCCAAGCCTTGGAGATCAAAAAAAGCCGATTGGGAATTTTGACCATATTTATTTCTCTATTTTTTGCAATCTGAGAGAACTCAAGAGAATGTCTCCGTCACACTTGTCCTAAAAGTAGACATCTTTCTATTCTGCTACAAGACAGGCACATTTGTGACCTGCTCTATAAAAATGTGCCACAAGTCTTCAGAGCTACTTCTGAGTTTTACTTTGTATTAGATTGAGGAATTTTAGCTCTTTCTTTTGATGTGGCGCTCAGTTTGGTATGATGAAAATGGACGTTGAGTAGACGTTAAAATGTTGGGGATACCTGTCGCTTAGACACTGTGCAAGATTGTTTCAAAGGCCTTTAACTCAAAAGTGGCTCTGGTGACACGTGACTCATTTTCACTGAGTCACGTGTCGTGGTGGTCTAAAAGTGGCCATCAGTTTTCTGCTCGCAAATTTACACAGACTGAAAAATATCAAATGCCTGTATACTGCTACGCGCACCGTCAAAGACAGATCGCCATACCCATCAGTTTAAACAGACAGCAATATGAACACTGACGTATATTAACTCATATGCTGTATACTCGGTGTTGTCCGAGAGCTCATGATAAAATTCACAAGCTTAGTCGGGTGGGATAGAACCAACGACCTCCTGCTTACTGGTGCAGACATCTTGACCACTCGACCACCAAGCTTTCCAGGGTCGGTTGGCCGGTTCAAGTCAGATGTAGTAGCAAGGACTGTTATCAACTACGTGTATTTCCAAAAATGTAATTTGCTTGGGTTAGATGCTGATTTGTAACTATCGGTTTGCTTTTGAGTTTGTGTGGGGCAATATCATTTTATCAATGGTGGTGTGCCCTTTCACTGACGTATATCAATTCATAACACTTGTGTACTTTGTTGTCCGAGAGCTTACTCGGTTGGGACTCAACCCACAACCTCCTGCTTGCTAGTGCGACTAGTAAGACTAAGACGTCTTCTTAACGGCAGTAACATCTGCCCGATGCAAACTTTGGGAGTAAATGACCACTGCGCGACTGACCTGGACCTCGCCGCTGCTGGTCCCGATCCCCAGGTAATTGCCCTCCTGCACCCACGACACCGAGCAGACGTAGTCCTCCTGCCCCTCCAGCTGCATCAGGTGGTTGATGCTGCCGCTGCTGGCGTCCCACAGGTACACGCTGTTGGCCAGCGCCACCGCGAGGTGGTTGTGGATGCTCCAGTCGATCAGGTTCAAGTCTGCGGGGGAGGGGTGCGGATATTCACAGGGATGTTAGCTGCCACGCATATGAATAAAGCCAGTGGTATTTTTGCCTTTACCCCTAAAAGAATGGGAGGGTGGAATCCACCCACCCCGTACATACATTTCAAAATAATTTTTATGTCATTAATTTTTTGATTCTTGCTAAACCTTAACCACTTGCTGGCGGGTGGTTTGAAAAATGCAGTGCACATAATCGGGACTTTTTCTAGTTTTTCAGTTTTCAAAATTCTTCTAAAATTCATCATTTCAATTAATGGATGTTTACATCCACATGAATTACTGTCTGGTGGCCACTTCATTCGGACAGACAAAATCTATTGATGCCCGAGTATTTCAGCCAGGCCTGCAGCCTTGTAAAAAGACCCCAGATTGTGAGGGTGCTATGTAACTTTCTTTTGTTCACTGACCTGGCACTGTGCGCTGCTGACCTCTTTTCAATAGGGGCCAGATTAGCATGCAGCGGTACTGTGTGGCCAATTGCTGCGGTAGTGGAGCGCTTTCGTCCCCAGTGGTAATCCGCTCACACTAAATGCCCCAAACTGTGGTATACTGTTTCAAAACAAGGCTGGATTATCTCCACTATTGAGAGTGGAAAAATGTCGGTAATGCCCGGCAGCCTGGTCTTTGTTCCGAGAACGGTCTTTTGTTACAAGGCCTGGTTCCCTTTGTCCGATTTCGGAGACCCCGGCCACGTGTATAAACACACGGTGCCTGAAACCGGGCTCCCCTGCAGGAAGTGGTTAAGGAATTTTTAAAGCACATTTTCAAGGAGAGATAGTGCACTTTGGAGAGGCAGTGCTTGAAATCCATCAAAAACAAAGTTTACAAGCCACTTAAAATCACAAGATTCACTGAAAAACAACAGCAAACAACACTGATGCTCAAGGAGTAACACAGTTTCTTCTTTAATCTCATGTTGAGGGTAAATATGCACCTGAATTTCTGAAAATTGTGCGACGTTCAGGCAAAAAGCGACAGAAGCGGGCAGCCGGCAAAATGAGGGTTTGCTGGTGTACTGGGAAGGAGAACAGTATTTCTCCTTGTACTCTTTGAGACAAATTACATAGGAACTGGCAAGATCGTTCCCGGTATAAAAAAGACTTATGAGGCTTTTGAACTGATAACAGATCTTGGAGTGCAAGGTTTTTCATGTTTTGCGACTGCATCTGACTGCTGCGGACACTACGGGGGTCAAAAAGGATGTGAAATGGGACTTAGTCCTTGTCTGAATTACTTGCTAAGGATTGCAATTACACAGGAGTCTATGGTAGCGGCTAAGGCCAGTTCCCATACAGTCTTGTGTAATGTCAAGCCGCAGCCAGACGAATCGGAAGTGGCCATATTTACAGTAATCATCCAGCATGTCTGGCGCATCCAGAATCCTCTCTGGGACCTGGGGTATGTGTCTCGTCGACTTCTTGGAGGAGCCGGGCGTCTTGGTCTGGCTGTAGAGGACTCGCAAGTTGTTCTGGAAGCCTGAGGGAGAAAGGTCAAGGGTTAAAAACGTAACGTATACGAACTGGATGTGCAACATGGCAATCCCCTTCTACAGATCCGCAGATTGCAACTGGAGGATGACGCGCTTGGATTTCAGATGCATGTATAAAGAGCAGCATCTGCTTATTGAATATTTGTGAGAGAGGAGACGGCACTGTTCGATTCAAGAAAGCTGTATACCCAACAACGGGTCACTCTATAAATTCAGGGTCCACAAGTGAGACATTTTTGTGTCCCTGTTACACCTGATTTTTGTTATTTGACATGGAAATATCACTGAAATTGATTTCAAACTGCTTCTATTTGTTTGGCAGGTAATTAGCATTAATTCATCACTCTTGGAATTGAAAAAAAATTACGTTCAGAACCTACAAAATTATATGTCAGGTGTGACCTGGGCATGGAAAAAATTGAACCCGATTTATAGAATGACCCCAAAGCTTGAATGTACAAATGTAGGCAGTGTGGGCAGGCTCCTGCATGAATAGCATGAAAAGTGCATACATGTATCTCATTTTCACCAGAATGTGTACAAAATTCATGGGCAATTAGCAGCTTTTCTCTGTCTGCCTGGACTTGAGCCTGGACTCGCTGGCAACGAAGAGACAGGTCAGTGGGAATTGTTTCATCTGGGTACCTGCTGTACAATGAAGATTCTAACATACTTTGATGATGGGTGCCCTATGTGTCCTGCAGAAATGCAAAATCTGTGCGCACACGCAGTGAGTTGCAAGCAAAGCGACCATCCATGCTCTGTAAAAGTTTGCCATCTCTTTCTTCGGCGCAGAGAGAATCCTGAAATGATCGCCCGTGTTGTCAGAGTAATACTTACCTTCAGGAGCCACCGGTGGCCTGTTCTTGTAAGACAGAATCTTGGCATTCAGCAGGTCACCGTTCAGGTTGTCCGACATGGTCTTGCAGTAGTCGATCTTCTGGGGGCTCTGCAACTCCTGGTTCTCCTGGTTGGAGACAGATGAGTTTAGGAGCTTGAAAGCACTGACGTCAAAGTTGGTGCCGCTACGGTTGGGTATGAAGCGGTCTCCAACGGGTACCTTGGAGGGAGTCCTGCCTGTCAAAAACAAAACAAATGCAGAGTTTTATAACCAGCATTTACAGTTTAATCACATAAACTGTGTCACAGATGTTAGTCCTACAGTTTAAGCTGACAGTAATCCCACTCACATAAAACCTTAAAAAAAAAACAATGAGTTAATAGCCAACTTCCATAACTACCAACACTGTCTCCACACAATGATTTGTCGCCCATTTTCTGAACACAAGTCTGAAATATTTCCCCGTTATTAAACCCTTACAGTCGTGAAACCTTCAGCTTTGATAAAATGATTGAAATAAAACAGGGTTTGAGGTTAAGGTATTATATTTTAAGTTGTAGCAGTCAGCCATTTTTTTCCCCAGAAGCCATCAGACATACGACGTACGTATGATTGGACGCCAGTGATGTGAGAAAGTCCAGAACTGGACTTGTGACCTAGAACCCCCCCAAAATGGAATTTGTTTTGTCTTCCCTATTGAGGCTGGTTTACGGTTGGATGCACGACTGAAAAACTGACACACAATCGTCTCAAACATGTTGATGTAAAAAATACAGTGCGCCACCAAGAGTTTGCCGCAGACAGGCCAATTTTCAAGGCTACGGTCGACACGCTGCTGCGATTGAGCGCACCTTGGCATGTAGCCTGGGGATATTTGATTGAGTCATTCCTAGCACTGTAGAATCCGTCATTTTGACTACCTGCCATCCATTCACAATAAGCAATTTTGAATTTTCAACCAAGCTAAACTTTGGGCAAAAATTAAAGTTTTCCGCGCACGGCCCAGTTAGCAAATGAGACTTTGTCCACTATATCCAATGCATTGAGAAAACACCTCTCCGTGACACCCTCTTGGGGGCGCACTGCGTTGTGAATTGCTTGTCCTGAAGTTTGCGCATTTTGCACAAACACTGACTGTCGCAAATGGCTATGAACTGCCTGTGAAGATTTTATCATTGACGGTCAGTGTCTGGTGTTCACCCCTGCACAATCAACTACATGTATAAACCAGCCTTAAAAGGCTTAATGACAACAACGACCAAGCCGTGATTTTTGAGAGATCTCTCCACACCTGGTGTCTTGGATCTCTTGCCGCTGGGCGTCTTGGACTTTGAGGGCGTCCTGCTCCTGCTGAAGGAGTGGTTGGCCCCCTTCATGGGGGAGATGCCGCTCACGTTGCCTAGGCTTTTACTTAGGCTCCGGTTAAGGCTCTTGTTGAGGCTCTTGTTGAGGGAGGTGTTGCACATGGATGTTTCAGTCGTCTTACGCTGCCAGCGCATGGCTGGGCCACCCGTGGGTCCGTCCAGCCTCAAGAGGCTGTTGATGTCATTGTCAAAGTTGAGATGCGTCATTGCGGCATTTACTTTAACAAAAAAAGGAACAAAAAAATTGGTGGTCGATACATTTGTGATATGAACAGACTCACAAACATGACAAAATTATAAGCTCATTTTTATGAAATAAATTACCAATTCAAAGGGTGATTAATGCATTTTTGACATACGGTAGCATTCACGTTTATTTTCCTGAAAACACCCCCATGCTTCACGCAATTTGAAACAACATATTCTTCAAAAATGGATGGAAATAAGATAAATTTTAGTCAAAATGCTCAAGTCAAAGAAGTTTATTTGAAGTTCTGCAACGTTTTAGAATTTCATTTAAAAAAAATGTATGCATACAGGCCCTGTTTGTCGAAAAAAAGCATCCAATAAACTGTTTAACATATCATGATGAAGACAGAAATCGTCTGATATTTTTAAAATGACAATAATTTTAACTCGTAGTCATACAAAGTGAAAACCAAAAATCTAGGCCTAAATTAATAAATACCCTTATATAAGTACTAGGCCTAGCTTGTTTAATGAAGTTACAGAAGTCAGATTGTTTTTTTTAATCCCTGATATGAAAAACACGCCAACTCATAAATATGAAGGTATAAATGGGGAGAATTAACTGCACGCAAAGTAAATGAGGCCTAGGTCGACATTAAAAAATTGAGGCACATCGTAACGGTTCTTGGACGACAATGTTTACCATGAAAATTCACTTAACGCACAGTCACAAAACAAACTGAAATCATAGACCTGGAGAAAAAAAAACAATCTCCTCCAGGTCTATGCTGAAACAGACTGTTCTGGAAGCTGCAAGTCACGAAAATGTTACCTTTTCACGCTCGAAAAAATCGTAACCAGTCATGCCAATTGACCATGTATATGTACATGTAATCAGCTGTGCTCAAGCTTTGCAGGCGCATGCAGCATTTAAATGACCCGCGTTGTGATTGGTTCTTAGCGACGCAGATGCCGTCCTCTGGATTGGTCCGTCGCTGGATCATGGAAATAAACATAATTTAGCATGATCTTCTAATACATCTGAAAAGTGCATTTAATTTAAGCTTGCAGTTTCAAATAAACCTAGCAGAATTCATTTTGTTGTTCTAAATTCTGTTATTTGTTTTACAAAATAACTGCATGTTTTAAATCTCATCACACGCGAGATTTGAAACAAGATGGCAGCCTACACAACGAGGCGCTCTACGTGTCAGAAGCACCTGCGGTTTTTGTGCACTATTTTTGTGGTTATCGCCAGTACTTTCCCAGCTCCCGTTTCTGCAGCCTATGACTTTTATTCCTTTTCGGCTGATGATCCAAGGGGGGTAGAAGTCTCTCTTAATGTATTCAGAGGAAAGGTGATATATATTTCCCACCGTCCGCTCCATGCATGAAATTGAAAGAACGAAAGACTAACGTTAGACATCGACAAGTGCATGCCGTGCGAGAACACGCATTAACCCACACTCATTTCAGCATGATCAGCATGCATGGGCTCAGTGTATTGTGATCACAATTGTGGCTGCGTTGGCGAATGGCAAACTTCCTAACAATGCGGCATCAGTGGCACCATGGAGGAAGGAACACATGGTGGCACTAAACGCTCAGGAAGTTAGCTCCGCTATGGTACTGTCAGAACTGCAGCGGAGCTAACTTCCTTAGCGTTTGACTTTAGATTAACAATGAATACTCTCAGCTTTAAAAAATTCAAGTCCCGTAAATAAACGCCGGCACAGCTGAGTGAGCAACCATCATGATAATGCACGTACATGTACGTGCAGGGCCTACACTTCGAGGGTGGATCCAGAACCAAATTTTGGGGCAAAAATTAAATTTGACTTTTGAAAGCCTTTATGGGTCATTCCATAAATTTGGGGTCAAATTTTTGTCTGTCCCTGTTAAGCTTGGCATATAATTTTTTAATAGAACTCATTCTTTAATTTCCAAGATTAAATAAGACTTAGTACTGGAAATTACCTGCCAAAGAAATAAAAATAGTTTGAAATCAGATTCTGTGATATCCCTTGTATATCCCTTGTCAAACTACACGTCAGTGTAACAGGGACGGGAAAAGGTCACATGCTTGACCCCAAATCTATAGAATGAATATGAAGCTTTTTTGAAGGGGGGGCTTTTTGAAATGAATGCCTACAGTTCCCCAAATTGTATGTCTCATTATTACAACGTGTTGATGCAATGGTGTCGTGACAAACTTGGTATGTTCACCACATCCTGTACTGTGCCAAGACCCATACACAAGAGACTAATATGCATATTCAAAAATAAAGACAGGCCTACATGCTGTTCATGTATATTTGCCACTCTGTTTTTTTTTGGGGGGGGGGAGTGGGGGAGAGTATGGCCCCTGTTCCACTTGGTGGTGCAGTTTTAAGGAGTTTTATAGCCAACAATGATTTAATGTCGTGGAAGGTGAAATATATTTTCCATTTTTTGGCATTTATTTCAGAAATCTGTTTCAACTGTAATGCATTCTCGTAAATGATTGACGGTGACTTAACTAAAATTTCTTTTCAAACAACTTCGTAACGTTGCACTTTTTCAGAAAACAGGGAATTTCTTTTCAAATGTTGTACATCTATAGTCTGCTTGAACTTAATTAAAATGTTCTTTAAGTACACTATAAGTGAAATTTTTACGCAGCTATCGTAAGAACATAGAGGAAGGACACAGAAGGAGTTTGAACTGCCCGGGCTGTAACATTTGGCCAATCGCCGCTTTCTTGCATACCTGTATGTCCATGGCGGAGCGCAGCGAACTGATGCTACGCACCAAATGTTTCACAACCACCAAAACCCTTTGTACCCTATGATCCCCGCCGCAATTTGTCGATGGCAATCTGCATCCTTAAAACTTCTAGTAGGTCTACCGAGGTACAGGAAATTGAATATTCATGCCTTTGTTGGTGCTTGGTATGATCTCATGACAACATCAAATTTCTGCTCGCGCAGTTGCTTGCATTACGCTGTGTGCCCTAAATCTATATGTGCAGTTATTGCCCTTATTAATTAATGAAATCTTTCTCCTGGAGTTATTTTGGGAATAAATAGTCCAATTGTTTACAAGATTTTGTGTTTTGTTTTAATAATTTTTATTATGGTATTTGTACAAAAGCGTATTTTATGAGATTTCACGATCACTCCCTGTGATAAAATAGCACATTTTGTTCCTGATGAACTAAGCTTTCCAGTTGCAATGAACATTTTGTTGGCCAGTCTTAGCCAAATTCGTACCAAGTCTTTGAACACTGATGTATGGTTGGAGGAGAATAAAATTACAAACTTTGCATGGATAATGGAACAGTGTATCAAAATTTAAAAAGTTTATTTACGATGGCAAAAGTAGGTCTAATATCAGGAATTTTTGTCTCTCTATTCCCTGGTCACATCGATAATTTGTATTTAATTGCAAGCAAAACACAACAAGTATTGGTAGGATACTACTGGCCTCGCTTGTCCGGCTAAGATGCAGGCAGAAATCAGGCATTTTTTGAATGTTTATTCGTCTGACTCGGCAGCGACCATCATTGAACACTCTGAAGTGCCCGAGTTGCAACTCCTTCTGTGTCCTTTCTCTATGATAAGAATAACGCCAAATAATAAACACCAAGAGCAAATACTAATTGCCAATAGTAGCAACTCTCATTCCCAGACAATTTACTTTGTTATAACCCAGACTTTGGTAGAAATTGTAGAGGAGTGGAAAAAGAACGAAACACGAGAATTCCAGAAATTCGGATTCTCAGAATCTGCTTTTTATAACAGAAACTGTACTTTGTCACAACTGTGTCCTTTACGAGAGTCGACTATACTTCCCTCTTTGGCACTTCTGATGCAAAATTTGTCACTAAATCAAGAATGGTCCTTCAGCAAAGCGCAAACTTTAGCTTTCATATAAAAGGTAGGCAACAAGAGAAAGGTTTGCTGTACTTCTACCATGCAAACATTAAAACCTTATCGGATGTCGTTGAATTGTATTAACTCATCTTGTATATACATTATAGGCCCTCATGCAGAGTTCATATGTCACATTCTGTGCTGATGCAGTTGAAGACTCGTTTTGTAACAAAACCCTCTCTGCATGCGTCCAAACAAGCATTCGCGGCACCGCTTTTGTTGGGTCGTGCTTTTGTGGAGACTGATTGACATAACGTCTTTGTGTTGAACCCGCATCGTGTCTCTGTTTATGATGCACCTTGGAATTATATGTTTGTGGGGTCAGATGTTATCAACGTGGGCGTGCGTGTCTCAAGGGGCATAGTCGTTTCTTTTTTGGGGGGACACCAAATAGTGGAATATTGACAACGAAAGGGTTAATTTCAAGGCATAGAACCCGTTGATTTTTCTTCCAGCGCCTGTTTTTCCCTTTTCTTTCTTTTTTTTTTTAAAAAAAACAATCCCCATTTCCCCCTGCTGTTGGTTGAGTGTAATATACTTCATGCCGGCCAAAGATTTTAAAATGTTATGTTTAAACTTTCTGAATGTTTCCTTCATGTTGAACACATTCCTTGGGTACAGGCACTAAGCATATTCGGAATACTCTTCGTCCTTTCATTTACTGTTTTTTCATCAGTGGATTTTTACCGTTTCACACTTACTTGCACACAGAAAAGTTTTTCAGTGTCTGTTAGTGAAACTCACGGCTTTCATTTGTTGCGTTCCTAACTTGGCATAAAATCAGTAAGAGCACACTTGCCTCATCAGAGAGTACATCCAATCTGGAACAGAGTTTGTAGGATCAGGCGTGGATCCAGGGTGTTTGGGTCAGATCACCCACACACCCCCATTCTGACACCCCCTCCTAAAGTTGAAAAAAGTGTATTATTTTAAAAGTCGTCATACCACATGCATAAATTAAAGTGCGTTATCTATGTGTCCACCTGTCAACAACAATCAGTCAAAGAATCTGATGAGCCCGACCCCCCGGAAAATCTTATGGATCCGGCGCTGTTTATACATGTACATGTTTTACCGAAAGTAAATCAAGCAGACATACGACTTGCTTCAGAGGTCTCTAGCTATACGTGGTGGTGTTGTATCAGGGGGATATATGTCAAAATTGGGATGCGAAATGTTTGAGAAGTACAATGTATTCTTAATTACATTCTGTGTTTATCCAAATACACGAATGCGTATGAAGCAACGGTTTCAAGGGGTGGCACCCTCCAACTTGGTCCCCCAACCTATACAGGCACGTCACTGGCTATACATTGTAACGTAGCGAGAAAGTTGCTTATTTGTCCCCGCCTTTTTTGTTGGCATTTCCTTCCTGATCTACAGCCTGCCCTAGTCGTCAACGTGGCCAGCGAGTGCGGCTACACCGAGGGCCACTACGAAGACCTGGTGTGGCTGAGCAAGCAGCCCGAGATGAACGAGCGCCTGCACATCTTGGCTTTCCCCTGCAACCAGTTCGGCCAGCAGGAGCCCGCCAGCAACCAGGAAATCCTGGATTTTGTCCAGAAAACGTACGGGGTGACCTTCCCCGTCTTTGGCAAAATCGACGTCATCGGGAAATATGCCCACCCAGCGTACATTTACCTCAGCAGTAAGGAAATGCATATAGACCTATAATACAAGCCCGATTGCGCCCGCTAACTCACGTGACCTGTATTGGGTATAAAATGTCAATAAACATGGCGTCCTGCCATAGCAATGCGTGTTTTCAAAGTGTTAACTAAAAATAAAGCCGGTTTTTAGTTTAGCTCTCAGCACATCGGTAGTTGATTACTTTACCGACCATCAGCTTTTATTTGGTAAATGGCACTAATGACACTTTTTGTTTTGGTGGACACCCATGTTTAAGTATGATACCCACTGTGGGTCACTTGACTCTTTACTTGGCGCAATCGGTCTTTGTACACGCAGTGCCATTCCACATACTGTGTCCACTCCTCGAAAGGAACAAAGCTTGATAACTTATCACCATAGAACAGCCTAAAAGGTTAAATGAAATTCATCTTTGCCCCTGCCACCCAAAAAAGATTTTGGCCCCAAAAGCACTGGTTCTGGTCCAACTTTGCCTTACAAACTGACGCCACCAATCGGACACCAGTGCACATGTACACGAATAGAGGCTATAGATTGGCCAATTTGTGATCAGATCTTCGGTCAATAAGCTCTGGCGGAAACGCCATTGCATCATAATGCCAAACATAGCCATGGCTATAAATATAAGGTAGCTAACAAAATAGAAACCAGCACAGTTGTAAAACGAGGGTCTTTTAATTCTTTCATCTGAAACCTGATAGTTTAACTTTTGGACAGACCGACAATGGTAAGGGGCTGGTACATCCCACGGCAATTTGCCATTCGGGGCGATTGGATAAAAGACTGTCCACAGAGGGTCGGGAGTCGACACGATCCAGTACAAGCATGATGCACACATAAAAAATGAATGGAAAGCACAGGCTCCAGCGCTCACTGAAAAAAAAGTAAATGTACAGTTGACTCTCGAAATAAATTGCAAGTCGAACGGCAAAAAGATGCGCCTTATGGACGGCTCTTATATCGCGTACTGTCCGTATACAGTGCAGCCGAAGATTGCAGAAAACCCGATGATCTGCCCTTTAACATACATGTACTTTCATTTGGTATTTATGTTTTGATAGCTGCACGAGATTAAAAAAATAAACTTATGACTACTTCGTTGCTTTTTCACAGGGTCGGATCCAGACCCTGGGAAGGGGTGGCAAAACAACCAAGCAGCGTCCCCGATGCACTTTAATTTGCATTAACTGATCGCATCAGGCAGAATTTAGCAGCTGCTCGGAAACAATTTCCTGAACACAATGGCTCTGTCCATACAAAAACGCTCCATTATTTAAATACTTAATATCAACTTGACTGATTACAACCAAAAAAATCTTTATCTTTTGGAGGGGCCACTGCTCCCATAAGTCCCCCCCCCGGAATCGCCATTGCTTTTACATGTACATAGCCAGCCACAGTTAAGCTGCTACTGGTAACGACTGTGACGTAAAAAGGGGGGAAGTCTTCTTTCCTGATCAGGTACTGTTGGGCCTTGATTGGTGTGCGTGTACATGCATCAAGATTAACAAACTCGGCAATAACAAAACCAAACATTGCATGCGTGAAACGCATGTAGACAAGAGATGCCATATTCCGACTGAAGTCAACTTCACCTAGTCATGGATTGGTTACAAATCTCGGCAGCATGTGAGCAGTGAACATTTTCCATACAATTTCTAAGCAGATGCCTCCGGAAAACAACCGACGTGGAACTTCTGGAAGTACCTGGTGGACAGGCAGGGCCGAGTCATCGACGCCTGGGAACCCACCACAAGCGTCAGAGAAATATACGACTTTTTGGTAGCAGCAACACAGACGAGGTCTGGAAGACGGGACGAATTCTGAGCGTCGTATCTCCCCGCATTGATATCCGACATTGGACCGAAAGATAACTAAAGTATTTTTTTATACTTTTGTTTAACAATGGATTGCCCTTGTCATAATAGTTTAGGTCAACACGCATGTACTTCACCCGTGAAGTTACATGGATTAGAGTCCCCTAGTTGTTAAGTCACGAAGTCTTTGAAATTTCTTTAAGTCTTCAAAACATAGTTCACATGGCTTAAAAGTATCCTTTCAGTAGATACTTTTCGCTCATAAAGAAGTTCTCCCAGTATTGCTGACAATAAGCCCAATCATATAGGTTTGATTTTTTATGAAATCGATGACATTTCAAAGTTGGGATATCAGAAAGTTGTTCAGTGAATCAAGCTAAAGTCTTTTTACTGAGAAGCCATCGACAATCCTGAACATTGTTCACATGCATTTATTCAAGGACCACGGAAGTATCTTTCGAGGCTATTGAATTGGTTCATGCATTGTCACAACAACTCAAACGTAATACCTCCGTTGTGGGCGGTGTCCTTTCATGCAAATGCCCTCAAAAAGCTGGAGTATATCGAATTCAAGCTGGGACTTTCTTTTGACGAGTTCAAGGACAAGTTAAACCATTTGATAGGAGGATAGGTCTGCAAGCGGGTCAATTTTTTAAATATTTCAGAGGATATTGTATTCATTATTTACACCAGTAAAATAGCCACTGTTATGCTATACCAACATACATTAACTATTCAAACATACATTTGTAGGCCTAGCGAAAAGTGCCGGCTTGTACTGAACTTCAAACGTACTTGTTATTTCACAAATAAACAACATTGTTCCCCGGGCTTCCGCTCACAATAAAATTGTATTTTCTGTTTAATATAGAACAGTTGTACCTCCTAAATAGCTCGTAACACACGCAAATGAGCACAACCAAACTTCAAAATGAACCAAGCGTGAACCCAGAATCAATGTTTGAGCGTAAGATGATGCGGCCATCAGTCGGGAGACTTCGTGGTTGATTCTTTCAAGTGCATAAATGGCAGTATGTGAGCACAGCTGAAAAAATTGGTATCACACAGCTATGCCAACATCTTGCCTTCTCCACACTCGTTCGTTCAGCCAAGTGCGTCTAACCTGTCCTCCCTTGAAGTCTCGCCTGCAAGGAGAGAAAATAGAGGACGAGAATGAGTTCGGGTCGTGAATTCCGAAAGACTTGGGCTTGAGCTGCTGTCCGCAGGTTGGGAGCGCCTTCCCTCAAAATGGCGGAGATTTGGCAAGTTGAGAAAGGGCAATATGTAGGTACAGCTGGGCTTGGGCGACAGCAGCTATGCCAACATCTTGCCTTTTCTACACATGCAAAAAGCACTTCCAGAATCCACTAGGCACGGCTGGTAATCCCGTACCGATCCCCTTTTGAGGGCCTCGCTTGAAGGTTACGTAAGACTTGTGTGCCCGTCACACAGACACGCCTGCGGTGTAAAAACGTGAAGATCAAACAATCGCAACGTATCCGAAATGAATACAAGCGGGAAAATGGCTTGACAAGAACAACTAATGTTTGAACTGTTGCCTAGGGCACGACTCAGTTGGAAAAATCAATGTTCGTTTTGTAGGTTCTCCGTCCGGACTCAAATGGTCGCTTCTCTAGAGGGCGTGCAAGCGACAAAATGGCAGTATGTAGGCACAGCTGAAAGGTGGTCATTGCACACAGCTATGCCAACATCTTGCCTCTCTGACACTGGCAGAATATGCAGAGTGGAGTAAAAAATACAGGCACCAGATTTATAAAAACCACCAAGCTGTCTTGGCTCTAATACGAACCTTCTTTTTCAAAGAAGTCGAAGCCCGCATCTCACTAGGCCAATTCGCGAACGCTGCCGGACGCAACAGGTCGTTGGTATAGTAGCAACCTACATACATGTACATACAAGTAACCTTGCGTCCAGTGGAAATGCCCGGAGATAGGTACACAATTGATGTGATCGCAAATACAATCATGAGCCATGATATGCAGTGGCCTAACGTGTACTATATATTTTATGAATGCACAACGCGCATTGTCCAATGATACATCGGTCGCTCGGCCGTATCAAGGTTTCATTACACTCGGGTGTTTATCAAAGGGCAGCAGAACTACCAATATACCAATGGATATCAATACCAAACCTAAAATTGACCTTCCGCACCGCGTGGACACCAAAATCCTTTGTCGACATAGCTAACTGCAAAATCATACATCAGTCTAATGGAGGCCCCGTGTTTTCCATTAGACGAATCATGGCCGAATGAAGTCAATCCAACATAAAACGTACACGGTAAAGCAAAATGAAAACGCCGAGTGTAATGGACGACCAGCGTGTGAACTGACCTTGAGTACCAATACCGCTGTATAATTACACAGCGAAGTAGCGCGGCATAAAATTCTCCCGTACACTACGCAACGCGAAATGGACCACAATTCCGTGGCATATTAGCAACGGGCCAAAGGTCCTTCTTTGCATTGTGATAAAGATAAGCCGGGGTGTGTTTTATGTATACAGGTTGATTTAAACCGTAGCATGGCATATTTACCTTATTGATTGAGCAGTACCACGCTCCGTTTAAATACATGCACGAAAATCGCACGCGGGCAAAATGGGGAGGAAAAAAAATAAATTTTCTTCTACCCATAAAACATTTACAACAATAAGATTAAAATACCAATTCATCACCTTTACGCATACTATATGGATGAAACAAACCATGCGTAATTATTCAGTTAAAACTTCAAAGTATTCATTATGAAATCGAGCTGCTGTATTACATTTGAACTTTCCCAAAGGTCACACCAACGAAGAACAGAAACCACCCATTTTCTTCAATAGTAACATGCTCTACAGGGTACAACGTCCACAGCAATAGAGTAACGTATATACAAAAGGCCTCAACAGCAGTTCAATTTAACTATTGATGGCAGTGTTCCCATGACGTGACCAGCCATGTGAAGCTCTCACGTACGTAATAGCTCCACGATTGTACATGTACATGGATTATTCACAAGCAAATACCAAGATAAGGTTGTTACGTAACTAGCAATTGTGCCAAACGTCCATGAGTGGGTCGCGTATTGACCGAAAGCCTTTGTATTTAACACTACACGCGTGAATCATGCTCTGCATTTAAATGTGCTATGGGGACCAGCGTTTTCTGCGAAAAACAAATTGGCGGGAAAAAGGTGACCGCAGAATGCAGCTCTTGTTCGACAGTCGCCTTGTCGACCTTGCCATGAAAAAAAATCACCTTTTTTGGTGAGAACCGCGTTTCGAAACATTTGTAAACTCATAACTCATTCTTTAGTCATAGATTCGTTCTATACAGATATACATGCATGTACATGTTCATTGGCAGGTCAGGAGTACAGCAAACCCAAATGCCCTTAAGCTAGTAAACCACCCTTCCAAAAACAACTGTTTAGGCATGGGCAACGTTATCTTTGTGTAACCAAAAATCAGTTCTGTTTTGAGGGCATTTTCTGTCCAATCGTCTATGGCGAGATCAAAATAAAATTCTATACATCCAAATCGACCTTTGCCATTGTTACAAGAGAGGTTTATACAAACAAAACGCGTACCACATTTGCCGTACACGCAACAGGGTCATGACGAAGCAGTGTGAGCGAACTCCTATTCACGCTGTCGATCACGGTGGGTTGCAGTTCCTGATCGATGTTTTCATAATGAGGAATATCGGGTCAGTGAACACTTGATAGTGGTTTGAGCGTGCACCAAAATTTGGGAAAAATGGCCACCCAATTACAGGGGTATGTACATTACATTTGCGACATGGGGAAAACGCGGTTCGTGTGGGCACTCCACTCTTACCGAATTTCAGACTTGATAAATTTGATTGAAATGGTCAAGTTACTAACGCAACGGCTAATGCACAGGATTAGTCAAGAGATTGAGCCACAAACATAAAAGAAAACAGCAATCATGACAACCATTGCAACATTGGTTTCAGTAAAGATAAGAACCATATGCCCATTTTTGTATTTATGTGCAATACATTTTGAAAATTCTGAATAAGTTACATAATTTCGTACATACCACTATAGTACCAGCAGAACTCACTGTGTTCTGTCGTGAGAACACTACCCGTGCATGCCATGCCGCTAGCAGGCCGTCATGGTCGGTCGATCTCCCGCCGTGCCTCACACGCGGTGGAGCCGGGTTGGTGATGGTATCAGCGCAGGTCGTTTGGAGATACGATCGTCGTCACATTCATTCCGAAGTTCACCATCGTCAGGCGGTCTCCATTTCTACCTCGCGAATGCCGACTCAGGTCGCAGGAACCGCCTTTTAATTCGCACGGATGAGCGCCTCCCATAAAGTGTGTACCGAAGGAGGCTTTGGGGCCGCTTCTATCTTGCGGTTTCAACAAGTGAATGATGGTCCAGCACGCCGTGGCCAGCCCCCCCTCTCCCACCTTCATCGCGTGTACTATCACCAACCTCTGCGTCGTGCGAGGCAGGATGCCGCATTCCACTGCTCTATTGTCGACTGGGTGGTGTATTATGGGCGTTTTTACGTACACCAAGTGGCAGTCATTGACATTCAAATCGGTCGGCTTTTGTGTTTGGGCTGACCCTCTCCGTGACGCTGAATGCAGGGTGACGACAGCCACGCATCACTGCATTTTCAAAAGACAGCATTCTGGCTAGGGCAGGTACTAGAGTGCGCGTGTGACCTGAGTGCCGTGGTGGAAAAAAAAATGGGCGGGCTTGTAGATGACCGGCAAATAATGAAGCGGCGGTTAATTACCTAACACTGCAAGGAATTTAGTTTTTTTAATCCGGTCTCAGGATGCCTCATGCATAACAATGGCCGGTCAGTGATGACTGATTATGTTGTCTAGGATACAGCAAACGAACGTGGGTTCTCCCTACAAAAGCGACTGCGCCCCCAGCCCTAGTACAAACACTCAACGTTTTAGCCACTCACATCGGTCTGTGTAGATTAGAGGAGAGAGAAAACCTCTTAGCCGAACCAAGCTTATTTTTTTTGGCGCGAAGCCTGCTTATGCAAAGAAAGCACGTTATTTTAAAGTTTGCTTTAATTTGACAGGCGAGTTGAAAAGGAGTTAATTGACGACAATACACAGAAGGCAGGCTTTTGTTTTGCACGCTGGTGTGGCAACACGACGTGTAGGCATTGACGGGTCACTGCAGTTAATATACATGTACATGCCAATCGTACTTCCGTTAGTATCACGCGATTTAAATTTCAACCAATTTTTAAGGAAACTTTTGAGACTTTTTTTTTAAATTGAATCCCATGATATGACTTATTCAAGTTCCTTACGTGTCAATTTGCCAACACCAAATTCTTCATTATTCAGACGATTCATGGGGATTTCCATGCTTACAAGATCACGCAAAATATACAGAAGGCTGGCGATTAGGCAGTGCTTTTCTGAGCTGAACAGGTTTCTCGTCTCCACGATGTCCTAAAAATGGGAGCATTCCGATCCGAAGTCGCGTGTGATGGTTGAAATGCAGACAGGCGATGACCATTGTCAGGGTGTTGAGCTGCTGCTCACAGATTCTGCTGTGTGATGTGGGTTGCCCGCATTTTTACACAACTCCTTGTAAATAAAGAAGATGCAACACAGAATTCCCCTCTAAAGACAAAACATAAGCCGCAAAGTACCATTACATTTTCATAGAATTTGTCATTGGAGTGTCTAGCAGATTTGAATTTTGCTCATTGATTCGACTACGTGGCATGCGTCAGATGGGATAGACTCGTGTGAGACCCCCCCCCCCATACGTGATCCTGCCTCGAGAATGCCTATGTCAAGCTGTAATTTCAGGAGGTGGCGCTTTTTATTTTGTCTTTACCAAGATTCGTGAAAAAAGGGTACACTCTGTTATTTTCCAGAGGAGAACAACCCCCTCTCACTGTTTTCAGAAGCCACAATTGTGCGACGAACGATTCCAAGTGCCCAGTGCGGCATCACAAACGCAGTAAAGGGAACAGACAGTTAAACGTTGCAATGCTTGTACGATTCTTTTGCAACAAGTGACAACACCTGTTGGAATTTTCATGCAGTAAGGGGCAATACCTTTCAAGAAGAGTACCGGTCGCGAAACCCGTAAAGTACTCTTGAGAGTGTACGAGTTTCCACAAACACCCCCACCCGTATACATGTGAAGAACCACGGGTGGCTCGCGGTTGTTACATCTTGTTTGACTCAAAACGGGCTCCTCTAGTAATAATACATGTAGCACTAGGCCTGTTTGTTTCAGTTTTTTTTTTAGCTCTGTGGTTTACTTGAGGGCTTAAAACATCACACAATTGTACAGGGTTTGTCGAGCGTATGTGTTCTATGGAGGAATAAGAACGCATTTTGCTGAACTCTATGGGCAGATGCCAGTGGTGTAAATTTGTGCCTGAAATTGGGAGGAAAGGGGTGGGTGGGTACAGGTGGCGGTGACGTGAACATTTGGAAAGAGGGGGGGGGCACAATATTAATCTATAAGAGGTTGGTGTTCATGATACTAATGCTTATCTGTAATGTGTATTCAAAATGGCATATTTATGGCTTTTTAAAAATTGTTCTCCCCTTTTTGAGTGATATTGAATGCATTTTAGTCGGTGGAAGTCTGAAAAGTTCTTCACAAACAACTGCAATATTTGGCTCACCACAAAAACGTGGGGGATATGTACCCGCATCCCCGGGATTTACGTCCGCGGCAGAGACCAAAATCGAGGAACGGATCATCGGATTACCGCGTAGAAAGACTGGGCTGATATAATGACTCGCCCTTGCTTGAAACCAAAAAAAAGGAACCTATGAAAATACATTTAAATGGTAAAATGTGGTGAAGTTCAATGTTGCTCAGGAGAACGGATATTTAGAATTATTTGTAACAAGTGACGCCACGAAGGAGAGAGTCGCTTATAAGATCTTTTACAGAAGGGTTTTGTGGGGGCGGGGAAATGGGAGGAGGGGGAGAAGGCAGGTGCTTCAGACTTTGAAGATGTATTCCTTTTTCGACATTGTTGTAAACCCGCATTTTACCAATCTTCAAGCCGGGTAATCGAATCTGAAGACAACTTACATAGTAGTTGTATTAATGCATGAAAAATATTGCTTTAAAAAAATTGAGGTTCGAGAAAAATCCACACACTGTCATCAAGTTCAATCCAAGGTTACAGATCCACGGGGGACAGCATAGGCAAACAAATTTATGGCATAAACTAACTTTTTAGGGGAAAGGAGCTTAAAAAATTGATTTTTTTTTTCACGTATCCTTTCATGGCATATGTTAGGGGCGAGGCTACATCATGTTTGGGGCTTTTAATACACGTTTTTGAAAGTAAGGAGATGAAATAGTTTCAACGAATCGCCTTCTCTCATTAAAAAGGCTCCGGGTGGGGGGGGGCATGGCCTCCATTGCCTCCCTTCCTTGATAGGCCCTTAGTTTGGGTTTTGATGGACGCTGAGGAGAATGTGGCGTGTTTGTCCAGGGATTAGTATAGGTTTTACGAGGGAAGGGGCTTCCAGGCAGCAGTGGGGGCTGGGGGCAGCGTGCCCCCCACAAATTCCCGATTCCCCCCATTGAAAAAAACCCGATGAATGGATATTGAACAAGGCTAACAAAAACATGCCCCCAAAAAACCACACCATTGAAAGCTGGTGCCCCCATAAGATGCTGGTGCCCCTTTTGTTCTTCGCTAGCAAAATCCTAGCTACGCAACTGCCAGGCAGCGGCTGAGGCTGGCTGGGAAAAGAGAGGACAACCATTGAAGCTCTGCACGTAAATGACGTAGTCTAGGCCTACTTCGAATTCAAGCAACTTTATGGGTGCACTGTTCCAAATCAATGAAAATTCTCCGCCAGGTGGAGACGCTCAAAATGTATCCCCTACAAATTCTTTCGAAAAGAGGAATCTGTGTGGGCCAAGAAATTGTGGAATTTTTTAAGTTTGGCCCAGGATCATCTCTGTAGATTCAGGGGCTCCCATCTGGGGGCAAAGCAGACAACAATGTTATTGAAAAAATTGTAAGAGGAGCCCGAGAAAGGCGAGAGATGTCATTTGAAAACGTTCACTTGGGGGGTGAGTTTGCTTTGGGCGGATAATTAAAAAGCTTCCTTTTAGCAGATTAACCACCTGCTAAAATTTGAAAATCAAATGAAATCTGAAGGACCAAAATAGACGCTGTTTTTGTTTGAGAGGCCTGAGGGACTTCAGTTGCCTGCAATGGGGCTCCAAACTTGGTTGATTTTACACTGTTTTCAATGGAGCTTAAATTAGTTGGATGCATATATCATGCACTGCTCCATTCACTTCTGCTTCCACGTATTGATCTGCCAATGCATGTTTCACTATAAGATAAAACGCAGACAAATTGATCTATATTAGTGTTCGTTATTAAATGAACAGACGTTATGCATGAAAATTCAGATCTGGGATTGTGTGTCGCCCGTTACTGCTCTCTGCACCTGACATGGCACGATGTATAATTCTAATGTGTCGTGTCGTTTAATTTGATCAGTATTTCCTGCCCAGATATAAATGAACAAACAATTGACAAACTGTACAACTGCTGCAGGCCCACTGGTAAAATGGATGAACAAAATATGGAAAGCATTGTTTTGAAAAGCATCTTCGGGACTCGTGAAGACGCCCTATTAAAGACAAGTCATTATCACCTGACAAAGGCGCCTATTTATTTTCTGTGCACCAGTTCCACCATTAAATAATTAAGCCCAGATCGTTGCTTAGTGACCCAGCGGTCTCTCTTATTCGCGCTTGCGCACATAACTCAGGAGAGAATTATGTGCTCCCAGCTCGTTTCTAATTGCAATCAGTGGCGTAACTGGGGTACATTTTCTGGACGGGGACTCAGTGGATCCTGTCACAAGTCTACTGACCGTCAGTAGATTTTGCCTTCACGAAATTCTGAGGGGGGGGGCAGGCCTCAATCCCCAGCCCCTTAACTATACGCCTTTGCTTGCAATGCGACGCTTTCAACGATCTCAAAAGATATGCAGAACAAAACAGAACCATAGCACGGCCACCGCACTACGCCGTAACACCCCCCCATGTTGTTTGGTTGCTGTTGGTATTATGCAAAGGTTTTTGTCTGGTTGTTTTTCTGCTCAGAACACAATCACCGTGCCATCGAAGGCGTCTAAAATTCCAGCTTTTTTTCTTGAGAACGCACAAATATTTGACCAAAGGATTCTGGACAAGTTACACTGTTGGTGTGGGTGTTGTTCTTTGTGATTCAGGTTAGGTTGTCTTCGCGACTTGGCAGAGCATATCGGGGCTTTGTGCTTGTACCAGACTGCGTTAGAGAAGACAAAGTCCTCAGTGGCGGGGAAACTTTAACGACGAAGTTCAATACGGGTAAAAACGAGTAGACACGTTCATCGTATATAAGTCTTTAAAAAAAGATAAAGTCACTGATCCTAGAAAGTGTCAAGATTTCTCCGCACGCAAAACAAACACTCGTTTTCCAGCGTGTATTTCTTCCATTTTTGTTCACTGTGCCACTCAATTTGCCACCCTCATGAAAAAAAAACTAGGCCTACGTGGGTTGAATGTTTCTATTATTCGCAATGTGATTTCAATTGAAAAGTGACTCTACTGGGGAATTCTGACTACTTTTTAAACCCCAAAAGAGCCGGGTAATTGTGGCCCCTCTCACAGCCGGGGGGGGGTAGATTCCTCCCCAGAACTCGTCTGTGCCGCCCTCGATTTTTGTAAACTTGGTATGCATGAAAAGACACTCCTTGTCATAAAAAGTGCGCATTTGAACTCAATCAGATTTATGGTTTTGTTGTTACGGTCATTTGAAGTTCAAGGCTACTTGCGTGCCACCCCGCATGCATTGAGCACTGCAGTGGAAAAAAGTATACATAAACCGGTTGACCAGTCTCGCTGCGGAGAAACTGCGCGCTACGCACGAACGGTATGTTCAAAATGACGGCAAGGAGTAACCCCAAATACTCCTAAAGGCTAAAATGCTTTTAAAAATGCACTGCGACGATATCGAAGAAAATGTCGAGAGTGCGGATTCCGCGCCCCCAGATCTTTTACGTATAATTATTTTGGTCGTGTTTGTATCTCGTGTTTTTCAATTTCATACCAAAACTTTCCCTGATGAATGGCTGTTTTGTACGGAGCCCCTAAGGGCACAGGCACAATGAGATCTTTTTTTCATTATTTTCCCTCAAATTATTATTTCGTTCCCTAGAAATAGTTTTTCCTTCCCTCAAAGTATTATTTATTTCCCTCGAAATATCATTTCGTTCCCTCAAAATAATATATTCCGTTCCCTCGAAATACTATTACGTTCCCTCGAATTAATATGTCATTCCCTCGAAATATGCTATTTCGTTCCCTCGAAATGTTGATTTCCTTCCCTCGACATACTAATTTCATTCCCTCAGAATACTTTTGTGTACTTGGCGCCATTGTCGTGTACTCGTGAGACAGGAAATCTTTCCCGATTGAAATGACTCCAAGGTAAGTAGTGAAAACTTCAACCGGGAAGCGTTTTCCTGTCCCTCGAGTGTACGAAAATGGCGCCAAGTACACAAAAATATTTCGAGGGAACGAAAAAAAAAATTCATTGTGCCTGTCCCCTTAGGGGCTCCGTATTTTTGTAAAGATTTTTAACGACTTGCATAAACCTACCCCTTTCTTCCTTTGCATCTTGCAAGAGTGAAGTAATTCCTTGAAGGGGTTTACTTGTATTGAAACAACTGGTTGAGGGTTAGTATTAGAGGGTTAAAATAATTGACAGTCTTCCGAGTGGGGTATGCTACCATGTGCCTTGTCACACCAAGTTAATAGTTGCTAATTAATACCCCCTCAGATTTTCGTTTTTCGTGGTAGAAGGAGATGGGATTTCCAAGTGTCACCCCATCCTGTCATGAATATGACTCTAACAAGGAATGTTTTGAATTATTCGGAAAGATTTCAGGATAATGAAGACGAGAACCACCAATGCGATCAAGCCCGCCCTCAGCTCGTCTTCTCCATTGAAGCTAGAGGGCGCGCTGTACTGATCTCACGGCTAGACTGGGTAAGCAAACCGGAGGAATAGAGCCCGAGAGTAAAAAAAGTCACTCATTGAGCTTCCGGAACCCTCGCGCGGTCCGCCTATGCATGCTATGTAGATTTTACATTGGGCCGTCCTGTCACGTTCGATAATTTTTGGAACTTTGGAAGAATGATTCCTAACTGAAACCATTTAAAGAAACACCCATGTCGTAATTTCCCCTCTGTCCTCGTCAAGTATTTTTAAGGAAAACTCACCTGGAGATTGGTAAAAACGAATTTTATTAACAGCCTTTTACTTCCGGCAGTATCGTTCTTAGGTCTCCTTGTTCGTGCACATTTGTATTCACTCCCCGTGCTTACGTGGAAACGAGATTGTACAACGTTGCAAAGATTTACCTACCTGCAGTCGATGGACTCTAGATTCAGTCGAGTTGACCCGACGCAGTTCTTGTCAGCAAAGGTTAGATTATACATTAGAATCTTTCGTTAAAGCAGGTTATTGCATTAAGTTTATTTTGTTATGAATTATAAAATCCTTAAAACATTTTTGGTCTGTTTTTATTTTGGCTTTTACCGAAAGACTGTCATGAAGTACAATTCCGTAACTGTTCATTTGCGTACGAGACCACCGAATTGCACTGTTCTTCATGTATTTTATGTTTTTGAAAGTGACAGGTCAGTTTTTGGCAGGATATGTCTCTTTTAGGTCAGGTGATTTTTAAGTTTCCGTAAATTGAAATGCTAGCAAATATTTTATGTAGGGCCTTTTTACGAGTAGCGGGTTTAAAAAAGTGAACCAAAAAATTCTTAAATTTTTGCACGTTAGTTATTATTATTGTTTATTTTACTACAATTTAACAACACCACCACTGATTTGAAATAAGTTGCCGTAAAATAATACATCGATGATATTCATTAAAAACAAATTACCACACTGTGATCAACAGAAGATCATTGCTGACTCAATGCTGAAACGTAATTCACATAAGCATTCCGGGGGAGTGCATTAGCGTGGTTTGCAGCAATGATGCCTAGGTTCCAGCTTGGCCCCGGCTTTAAGTGAATTTGGTTTCCAGTTCATATAATATACTCGCCCTCGCAGGTTTTCACTGGGCACTTCTGAGTCCAGTGTCATCAGCTATATATAATGCTAACGGTTCTTTCTTATTCCTTTCGAGGAGACAAGCAGTGGCCACGCTACCCCTTTTTTGAGAATTTAGTCAGTGAATTTGACATGCCTACTGCACATGTTTAATAGATAGGCCTACACGTAATGAACTTTTCTTGGACTAACCTTTCCTGCAACTTCGTACTCTTTCGAAATACAAGCCCCCGGTCCTGGTTTCACTTTGCCTGAGCGCCTAAGATCAAAAATGATTGTTAGACAAGAAATAACACTTGGAAAAGTAAAGTCACCAATGGCAGAAAATCATTCGAAAACGAGAAACCTTTTCGTCATGCTTGGACAGAGCGTGTTTTTTTAAACAGCATAACCACGTGACCGAATCCGTCTGCGCAGTGGAATGACCAGTAAGATTGTTGTGGCACAAAGGAAGATGACGACGATGACAATAAGGCTAAGGAGGTAGTCACCCGTAAGGTCATACAAAACACCTGTAGAAAAAAGGAAGAACATGTAGGCCTATCATAAATAAAGGATGTCTGTGTCAAACCATAAGGACGATAAAACTAAAGTACATGTAAAACTAATCATTTTTCCGTTTTATTTTTAAACAGATGAGACAGATCTTTGATTTAAAATTTTCCAAGATTGTTGCCTGTAAATCTTCACAATGGAAAATATTGCTTTCCCCCCTAACTTTTTACATGTTCCTTTTGTACACGTAGTCTGGATTCGTGTTTATAATGATACCTGCGAGAAGTGCGCTAACAAACGTTCCAAAACCTGCCGGGTACATGAACAGAATCAAGCTGCCCCTGGTCCCGTAGGTCCGGTGGAATAGTTGAGCCGCAGTTGCAACGCACGCACCGTACACACCAGTTCGGCAGACGCCAGATACTAGAGAAATTACAGATCGACAAACAGATGGAGACACGTGATCATGATTCATTCGGGGGGGGGGTATAAGCGCCCGAGATTTTTGTTTCACTTACAGAGAGCAAAGGAGACTTTCAGCATGTGAGGTTTTCAAACAATAGTTTCCAAAGATCTTTTACCACGAATAGTGCGGCCCCGGCAGAGAGATTAAACGGTTTTAACCGAGTACAATTTAAAATTATTGATATACTATTTTCTCTTTTGTTTTTGTTTTCTCAAGAGGTTTGGAATCTGCAGATTTCTGAAGTCGTTTAAACCTTGCCAAAGATAGCGAAGCTTTCGCGAAGTAGCATACCGACTCCGAGGACCGCCACCGTGGTATACGTCTTGGAATAAGCCAGCAGCGACAGTGTTACGGTGCCTCCCAGGCAGGAGGCAACTACCACGTACAGATACATGAAGGGTAGACGATCTCCTATCATGGCTAGCAGGATTTTCCCGCCAAGTTCCCCGCAAGAGAAGAAGACAATGTTAGAGGCTATCTGGTTGTCGTCGAACCGAAGACCTTTCATGAAACTTGCCTGAAATAACAACGATGGCACACCTCATCAAGCCAGAACAATTTTGTGTCTCTATAATTTCGAAATTACCCTTCATTTTTAATCAAGATTTTAGCCTTTAATCATTACGTTTAAGTTCATGTAATAGTCAGGTAATTTAGTTTTAATGCTGAGAACTGGTTTGCATGTGTAAATGAATAAATGAAACACTTTACATCAAGTCCGATACTTTACAATTCATGTATTTTTAACCCACACTTGGAACATCTGTAAGAGGTGTTAGCAATGAAAAAGCATATACATGTACATGCATACATTGCTGACGAATTCGAAAAAATTTACATGGCTCGAAGAATCACTTTTGCGAAACAAAACGGCATTTAAACACTCACAAAATTGATATTGAAAAATGCCCAACCCATGAAGGATAGCAGACTTGCCACAGACCAGAGCCACGCCTCCGGGTCTTTTAGTATGACAAACAATCTATGGGAGTTTGCAGCGTCCGCGACAGCCAGTTTGTCAGGGGTGACAACGGCGTCGCTAGCCTCTTCTCCTGCGACCTCGGTTTTAACGTCCTCGCTGTCTTTGTCGTCTGTAGGGAGAGGCTCGTGGATTCCAGAGTCCTCAGTCTCCTCCATGCCACAGGCTGGTGTCTGCTCCATCATGGTGACCACACTGTTGGTGCCGCATTGTTTCTGATCCCGGGAACCGCCTCGTTCCCATGTACCGCAGCACTCATCGGCCGGTGGGTCGGTGAGAAGCAATCCTGCCGCAGCGCCCACCACGAGTATCCCTCCGCTGAATACCCTCAGTGCCCCGCGCCATCCGTAATGGTTTGTGGCAGCGGTGAGCAAATAGCTTAAACTGAGGACTCCTTTAAGGGGAAAAAGACACTGTGATATGCTATTTCTTTCGTAGCCTCCGATGGATGGTTTTAAAAGCAATAAAACTTTGATAGCCCACATGCACATGCTAATTGAGGGCGCTGTGCAATGAGCCAACGCAGAGCTGTAAGAGATGCGACATGAGTGTCTCTCCTATTGACACCAAAATGGTAGATCGCGCACTATGACAATTACCAAACATAACGGCATGATGTAATGCGTACATGATGAACAGCCATATTAGTTCCAAAGTCTGAATAAGGCGCTTCTACATGTATGGACAGCTCTTAGCCGAGAGTTTAGGGGAATGGTTCTCCTTTCAACTAAAATGGCCACGCTATAACAGCATTAAAGAGCCTCGAGCTGCACCAAGGGAGGGCACAATTTTCTTAGCAACGGAGGCTCCTTTGGTCGGAACTGAATTTTGCTTGTTCACGTACAACTATGAAATGGACCCGTTGCGGTCGCTTTGCTGCCAACAAAATAAACACTCCCGACCAACATATAGGCCTATGGCTCTTTTCAGCCGGGGGGTGCTTAATTTACTCGAGGTGGATTAGTCCAGCATCTGTCAAGCAAACAACTTTATGCCTTCGATATTCGGCACAGTATACACACCAACTGCATAATTTATCATCACAATTTTCCTGGATGACAGTGAATCTCCTCAAAAGAAGTGGCAAGGCCGCTTTTTCAGTAATTTTTCTGTATTAAAGGACCCATGAAATGAAATTTTCTTAAAATCTCTTTTTGTGTATCTCTGTACTCCTCTTAAATGTATGATGACTGATTTGTTTTTGAGATACGTTGACTGAAAAGTGCAGTTTTTAAACATTCCAAATTGACCAGGCATTTCTGGACAAGTGAGGGCGCTTTTCCTTAGATGTAAATCAAGGAAGTCATGGTTCAGTTTGCATGGTTTCATGTTCAAATTGGGAACTCCAAATTTGCCACCTGAAAACGTTTCTGTGAAAAGGCTGTTTGCTTGCTTATTGCTTTATACTTACACAACAATAGATTGAAAGGAATAAAATCTACGACAGTAATTTCGAAATTTTCTGTGCACAAATCAGTACAAAATTGAGGCTCGGTGCCTTGCATGACATCACAGTTTTGCTCATGAATATGCAAACCGTGCATTAGCATAACATTAAAAACTTCAAAATATGGCTTGAAATTGCAAATTCAAATTTTTAAATCAGGTAAATTGAAACCCGGAGGTACAATCTCAAGGGTTTTGGTACAATTTAGTAAAATATTTCTATTGAATGGCCCCTTTAAGTTTGCTGTACCAAACCTTGGATGATTGATTTAATTAGGCATTCAGATGAAAATCATGTGGGTAAAAAAGTAGTTCCAGAACGACGGGTCGTAGTTTCATTTACCACAATTCGATCCCATAAAAACGGTGGCGCTGTAACGAGAAAAGTTCCGCCCCACGAACCAGTCCATCAGCAGCCCCAGCGACGAGTTCGTCATGAAGCTTCCGCCAACGCCTGTCAGGACCCCAAACGTCAGATAGGCGTAGCCAAGGGCCGGCACGAATGACGTCATGAACAGACCTGCACAGATGGTGGTCACCCCTGTCAGGACAACGACCCTTCTGCTCAGCTTTCGCTCGAGCAAGGGAGTGAGCGGGCTGGCGAGGCCAACCAAGGCGTGCGAAAGAGATCCCACCCAACCTGTGGATAAAAATATACCAATATACGCGTAGGGCCCACAGAGAACAGGCTGGGAGTTGTTACGTTTACTGTTGTTTTTAAATAGCTAAGATACACAGATTCAAGTTCTCAGGTCAAAAAGTGCGATGTGCTGAATGATCATAACCCAGGTCATAATATAAAGCACCTTGCCAATAGAACGCAGGTTGATTGGCTGTGTGCTATCACCTTATGGAGAATCATCCCTCAAGCATAAGAAATGCTGAAAATCACGTGCACATATTTAACAACTGCCTAATCACGACATGATATTTACTATATACAAGTTACACTTACATGCAGATGAGTATAAAGGCCGTTGGGAATGCTTTCGTATTGAGGTATGATGTTGGCATCAAACCCTCGATACAAAGAATGACCGATTTACCTATTCCGTTGCACACGAGCTCGGAAACCCAACAAAAGTGATAAAGTTTTGGGAAAAAACAAAGCCTAAGCTTGCTCTGAATATCGTATCTGCTGACTTTCTGCCAGAATCCGAAAAATGTCCGAATTCTGCAAGAAATCTGCTGAAAAAAATGCTCATTCTGCTGTTCTGCCAAAAGCATTGCCTTCGAACAATCGGTCGAATCTAGCCTAAAGTCTGCTAAGATAATCGCCCTGATAAACATACTCTCACATGAAAGTCCGGCATACTATTTGTTACCCCACGAGCATGAGTGGAACACAGGATAATTGTAGGAATTATCGGGTCTGGAATCCAGACTACGTGCGCTGAGGTTCACGCTTCGTAAAGCCCACGGTGCACATGCACGCTCTCACCTGTAACTGCCGAGCCTGAGTGGAATTCGCCTTGTAGACTGACAAACAGAATGTTGTAGTTGTACAGAATCCCGAAACACAGGAAAAACTCAACGAACACCAGCCAGGGAATCAGCCACCGCCACCAACCGCAGCGGGGTTGGCAGCAAGCCATGACCGGTGACCCTAACTCAGTGCCGACTCGTTAAAAGAAGTCTTTTCAGCCTGTGGATTTGACAAATGAAACTCGAACATAGGTGTATAAAATCTTATTTGATTTTTAAAGGGCCTGTGCAGTGCATAATCAGAAAATTAAAAATAACCTTAGAACCGATCACTCACAAGGGTATGTTTGGTGCCTCTTTGGTTTTTAAGTCAGTACGCATTTCTAATGTGTAGTGATAAGCAAAACTATAGTGTCATTCCGGAAACAAAGCATTGGCGTTAAATTTATTTCTGCACGCACACCAAAAAAAAAAAGTCTCTTGAAAATTTCATGTTTTGCTGCAGCCTATTTCCCTGTCTTCGGTGATTCCGGTTGCTGTGTAAGTACGTGGCGAAAACCAACGAGCAACCTTTCCAAAAATGTAACCCGCTCTGCGAAAATGAGTCACATATGTCGCCAGGGCCACTTTGAGTTTAAAAGCCTTTGAAATAATCTTGCACAATGACTAAGCAATACAGTAATCCTCAACATCTGAAGCATTTTTGATCTCAGATTTCTCAATCTGATATTATATGCAAAACTCAAAAGTGGCTCCGATGACTTTTAGCTCATTTTTACAGAGTGGGTCGCAAATGTTTCCAAAGGGTAAATTTTGGGTTTCAAACATTTTTAAACGGAAAAGCCTATCCAATGAAATGTGTTTTTCTGATTGACATCACACCAAAAGCGACCTAAGTTGTCCAAAAAAATACGGTCAATTTTTAATGCAGGATAAAACAATTCACTTAACCCAAAAGGGGTGTCAAATTGACTAACATCGATTGAAATGCATCCAATATCACTCAGAAAAGGAAAAAACAATTTCGAAAAGACATAAACTTTTGAAGACATATTACAGATGTGCATCAATACCATGGACATTAACCTTTATGTAGAGTCATATGGTGTCAACCCCCCAAATTTTCGGCACAAATTTACGCCACTGATTAAAAGGAAAGGGTCGAGTCACATAGGCTGAACCAAATCTGGTTAACTCAACTCACCGTGGTTATGCTGACCTCTCCAAATGTTTCTCCAGTATTCTTGAGGCCCTTGAGGAAATTCCGTTCTGCTGGACAAATTGCGCTACCTTTTTGTGACTGACGGGTCTTCCGTGAATCATTGATTGTGCACTAATACTGCGCTGTATCCCGCACCTTTTCGGTCACACACTGCCTCCTTTTACACCCCCAGAAAAGATAAACCCGTCGTCCTAGTTATCCAGTGGATTAATTATTTTGTCGGCAAAGTAATACCACACAGCATGAGATGGTAGAACCAGCAAAAAATTGCCCAGCCGATGGATGTTAACTTGCCCCTTTTTGTCAAACAAGGTGATGGCCATGAGTGTTTATGCCATTCAAACTGTATGAGTTAATCTGACCTTACATAGCTAACACGGACTTTCATAATGGGATCAATGTTTAATGGTCGTGAACCATAGAGCTAAATATAGCTCTATACTAGGGACCATTGTCTAACCAGGACATTCCGCCAATTTTTTGCGGCCTCTCAGCCAATCAGAAGGCGGGATTTGGCCCGACGTGACCCTTATTAACATAAAACGGAGAACGGGAATATTCCATTAGTGTAAGGGTGTTTGGTAATTTTATAAGGGGCTAGCAAAATGAGGAATGAAAAGGGCAAAATTATGTTTGTGAAGTCCACTGAATTTGTTTTGTGTTCTTACTGGCCAGTATGAATATCCAGTAATAATTCTCGGGTCCGATACCGGCCAGGAACTTCTTTAATCCATAGCACAAAAGGTAAATGTACCCCTTTGCTACGTGTTAAAAATCAGAACTGACGTTGTACCGCCCACGAGAATTTATAATGTTTATATAATGATGTGTTTTAGATTTACTCCACAATAAAGACCAACAGTAACGCTCCGCTTATTTTGAATTTGTAAAAACCGTATACATGTACTGGGTAACGGGACGTAAAACACCAGTTCAAATGATTAAAAATTCAGCCAGAGCCAAAACCATATACTTGAACATGTACGGGATAACGGGATCGACCTACAACACTAGTTCAAAGGATTAAAAAATTCAGCCAGGGCAAGCCGGCCGGGCCTTCTTCCTGTGTCGATCAGATCTCGGTAACCTTAGTGCGCCGAACGCAAGACCGTTATCATGTGCGCGCCCTCTCTCGTTTAATGTCCAAGGATTAACATCAAACCATAGAGGAAGGACACAGAAGGAGTTGCAACTCTAGAACTTCAAAGTGTTCAATGATTATGGCCGTCGAGTCATACGAATAATAGAAAACATTCCAAAAATGCCTGATTACTGCCTGCATATTAGCCTCTATGGTCACACCAACGCTCACTTCCAATGTACACAATATGGTCATTAATACAATCTGGTTCGTAAATGACTTCGTCACAAACGCGGACGAGCCACGATTTGCAGGCTCTCATTGGACAATCGCTGAAGTTGCGCGTTGACTTCCGGTTCCATGGTTTCATGTAAACGGCGATGTAGGCCTAACTCTACGTGCAGTGCACGTGGGCAGTGGTCGTGGTTTAAACTGTGACGTCACACTCACGAACTGGACACACAATGAAAACGTAAATTAACTCCCAAACCCTACTTAAAATGGTACGCTCCTGTGATAATTAATTTACCGTAGGCCCTCATAAAATTACCAAACACTCCTACACTAATGGAATATTCCCCTTCCTCATTTTATGTTAATGAGGGTCATGTTGGGCCAAATCCGGCCTTCTAATTGGTCGAAAGGTCCTAAAAAAACGGCGGAATATCCCGGTTAGACCCTGGGCACTACTCTTAATGAACGAGAATCGATTCAATCGGAGTTTCAGTTTCTTCAAGGCACGGCACAGCCGTGTTGGGAACTTCCCACGTGTTTACGCACGGGAATGGGGGTGAACATTGGTTCCACAAGGGTTCCATGCAATGCACTGGCAAGACGCCAAAGCATCGCGGCAAGGCGCGAACTATGCTTTGTAATAACTTGTTCACTTTCTCATCGTTGTGATACCACTAGCACCAGTTTCTAGACACCGAAAATCATTATAAAACCAGAAAAGTTTCACCCCATCACATACACTTTTACCAACGAGGAGATACGTTTATTGGTCTGGTTCTTGACCCGAAGATGATTCCTGCCTGGGTAAGGGATCGTTTACGGTTGAAAATAGTCCATGATGCAGCATGTCGGGGGTCACCGAAGAAGCCCCACCTGGGTGGGAGACTATTTTATTTTATTCATTTCATTTTCGTGACGTTCTTTTTACACAATACATTATGCCACGAAATACCCCAAAAAAGCCCACAAAACAGCTAAACGTTAAAAAGAATGTTAACACAATTATTCAACTACTGTTATATATGTAATAGTACCGCGCACAACTCTGTGTGTGACCCGTGTTTGAGACCAGGCCGCGGTGAATGACCTCACTTACGTACTCCAGAAGTTGTTGACTAGTGTACGTTCTGGAAGTTTCTTGTAAGAATGCGTGATGCCAAATACTTTATTTAAGAAACTTACGTAATGATTAAAGAAGTTTGTAGAAACTAAGAAATATCTAGAAGAGCTGGAGACTATAAAAGACGAGCTCTGGCAGACAGAATTTTGATCCGGAAGAGACAGTTTGTGAACTGAATCCAGGTCCAGATTATGGGATCATCAAGTCCCCGTAATTGCGACGGTCATCAAACCCTCGCCATTTCGTCTCGAGCCCGGTCATATTGGACGTGGTCGTCCTCGTTGCAGCTAACTTTTGCACCGTGAAGGACTGAACTGTTTTTCACCATCTATGGAGTCAAGTGTTCGTCACTGAAGTGCCTGCTAAGCTCTCGCCTGTAAGATCAGCTTGTTTATATAAGATCTTTTCTTTATTCTTCACTTCATCACTGTAAACTAGTTCCAATCAGTACTTTTCATCTTGTTTGATTTCTTTGTTGCATCGGAGAAAATTCATTATTCAGCGATCTTGGTGGAGATACATGAAGTGAAGTTGTAGTTGAAAAACACAAAATAAACCAGGCGCCCAAAGGCAGTAGAGGCCCGTCTGGTCCTGTCCTGCACCTCATCTGTGATACTGCTGGACGACGACAGGATGCTACCTAGGTAAACGAAGCTGTTTACCTGGCTGAAGACATCAGTGCCTGCTTCCAATGCCTCGGCTACTTGGACACCTTTGGGCACGACCTCTCTCGGAGAACCTCTTTCTTCTGGGTATTGATGTCCAGCTCCGCGCTGGAGTACGACTCTGCGATGGTAGAGAGAGTTCTCTGCAGGCCGTCCGAGATGGGCCAAAATTACCCGGCTCTTTTAGGATTAAGAGAGAGTTAGAGTCCGTTTGTGGATCAGCGAAGTTCAGTTCCGACCAAAGGAGCCACCGTTGGTAAGAAAATAGCGCCCTCTCTTGGTCCAGCTCGAAGCTCATATAGACTTACCGAATTCGGTAGCCCTCAACCTGGGCCAGAAAAGTCTTCATGGTCTTAACAAATAGCTGTCTCAAGATCTGATGAGCTGAGAAAATGAGCTTCAGAGTCCAAAGACATCAGGCCACCGGTTTGTTCTTATTCTTTAAAAAGAGACAGCAATGGCCACGCAACAGGTACTTTTTTGGCGAATTTTGTCAGTGAATTTGACATGACTACCGCACGTTTAATCGATGCATGCGGTGACTTTTTCTTGGACGAACCTTTCCTCGAACTTCGTACTCTTTCGGAATACATGTACACGCACCCTGTCCCGGTTTCACTTTGCGTGAGTGCCTGAGATGAAAATTTTTTGTTAGACAAGAAATAACACATGGACAATTATCAAGTCATCGATGGCAGAAAACAGTTCCAATCTGAGAAACATTTTTGTCATGTCTGGGTAGAGAGTGTTTCCTTTAAACAAAACAAACCACGTGATCGAATCCTCCTGCGCAATGGAATGGCCACTAAGATTACTGAGGCACAAAGAAAGGTGCTTGCAATGACAATAAGGCTGAGGAGGTAGTCACCCGTGACGTCATACAAACCACCTACAGCAACAAAAAAAGGATGATAAATCCGAAGTAAAACTAAAAAATTTCTGCTTTTTTAACAGACGAAACACACCTTTTAATTTCAATTTTTCTGAGATGGCCACCGGTAAATCTTCACAAAGAAAATTGTTCGTCTTTTAAAAAACTTTTCCATACATTTTTACCGTTTGTACACGAACTCGTGTCAGTAATAATTATGTACCTGAGAGAAGTGCGCTGACAAAGAAGCCAGCACCCACCGGGTACAGGAATAGAATCAAGCTGCTCCCAGTCCCGTAGGTCCCATGGAATAGTTCCGCCACAGCTGCGACGCACACACCGTACACACCAGCTCGGCAGACGCCAGATACTACAGAAATGACAGATCAAAAAACAGATGGAGACACACGATCACGATTCATTCGGGAGGGGGGGGGATAGACCTAAGCACCCAAGACGGTTTTTTTTTCACTCACAGAGCACAGGAAAATGTCAGTATTACCAGATATTGAACAATAGTTTGCAGAGATCTTTTACGACAAACAGTGCAGCCCCGACGAAGGGCTTAAACAGGCTTAACCGCAAAACTGGAAAACTTCCCCCACCATAATCTTACATCCCCTCCTGTTTACCTCTTTCGTCATCGCAAGTGAGCGCAAGTGAGGTTAAAAAATGCATGTATATCGTTCCAAACTTGAAAGTAGGAATCTAGATAGGGCAACAAAATAATTCATTATTTCGTTGCCACCGTTTAACATTGTCAGATCATTATGCACGTACAAATCATTTGCGTACGTGCATTTTTTTATTTATTTATTTGGCAATGAGGCACTGAAAGTAAACGAATTGCGAATTTCCTCGAGAATAAACATCCCCTCTTCGGTTGAAATGAGCCATGCTGGTCTGGAGTGTTCATTTTGCTGGTAGCGACACGACTGTAATGGGTGCATTTCACATGCACAATCGTTTGTGAACCAGCGAAGTTCAGTTCCAACCAAAAGAGCCTCTTGCACCATTTCTAGGTCCAGCTCCGGGCTCGTTGTGTACACAAGATGTAGCAGCTCATTGCCAGATTCAAAACAGGGAAAGCGGCATTTAGGGGGGACATCCACTGGGGGGAATGTGTCCCCCGTGGCCCCCCTGCACTGTAAAAACCAATGCCCATTAAAAAACTGTCTTTGTGTTGATTCCAAACATGTTCATGTAACTGTATAAAGCAAATATCTGTTTTGAAATTAACGTGTTTCGGTATTTAGAAAGCGTTACCACCCGATAAACGCGTTTTTGTGTCTGGTGCCTAAATTTATTCACATATCCAATTAACGTATTTGTCTGAACGATAAACACCGTAAGGTGTTTAGCTTTGGATCACACCACAACAAGTCCATTCAGTGTTACCTGGAAGGCGAGGATTAACCATTAACGTTTCCTTCTACAGTGTGTGGTTATGCCACCCAGTATTAGCGGGATGCTCCGATAAGTATGCGTGGTTTTAAGTTATTCATAGATGCTCATTTCTTTTGTTTTTGTCCACTTAAGAGGTTTGGAAGCGAATGACGGGTTCCACAGATTTCTGAAGTCATCTAAACTTTCTCAAAGACGCCAACCACGTTTTGGAAACCCGTCCCCAACGAGTATACCGTACATGAAACATGGCCGCACACAAATACTATCTATTACCAAAAACTAACCGACTCCGATGACTACCACCGCGGTGTACGTCTTGGCAACGGCCAGCAGCGACAGCGTTACGGTACCCCCTAGGCAGGAGGCAACTACCACGTACAGATACATGAAGGGTAGACGATCTCCTATCACGGCTAGGAGGATTTTCCCGCCAAGTTCTCCGCAAGAGAAGAAGACAATGTTGGAGGCTATCTGGTTGTCGTCGAACCGAAGACCTTTCATGAAACTTGCCTGAAATAACAACGATGGCACACCTCATCAAGCCAGAACAATTTTGTGTCTCTATAATTTCGAAATTACCATTTTTAATCAAAACGTTTGAACCCACACTTGAAGCATTTGTAAATGGTAGCAATGAAGAAGCATACATATGTACATGTATATATTGCTAACGAATTCGAAGAATTTACTTGGCTCAAAGATCTCATTTGCTAAACAAAAGAGTATTAAATCACTCACAAAATTAATATTGAAAAATGCCCAACCAAGGAAGGCTAGTAGATTTGCCACAGACCAAAGCCACGCCTCCGGGTCTTTTAGCAGAGCGAACAATCGGGGTGGGTTTGCAGCGTGTACGACGGCTGGTTCGTCTAGGCTGACAACGGCGTCGCTGGCCCCCTCTCCTGCGGCGGCCTCGGTTTCAACATCCTCGCTGCCTGGGTCGTCTCTAGGGGGAGGCCCTTGGATTCCAGAGTCCTCAGTCTCCTCCATGCCACCAGCGCGTATTTGTTCCAACACGACCACGTTGTCCGTGCCGCGTTGTTTCTGATCCCGGGAACCGCCTTGTTCCGCTGCGCCGCTGCACTCGTCGGCAGGTGGGTCGGAGAGGAGTGATCCGGCCGCAGCGCCCACCACGAGTATCCCTCCGCTGAATACCCTCAGTGCCCCGCGCCATCCGTAATGGTTAATAGAAGCGGTGAGCAAATAGCTGAAACTCAGGACGCCTATAATGGGAAAACAAAAGTGTTATGTTATTATTGTTATAGCCTCCGATGGAAGGGTTTAAGGGGGGTACAGACCAGTAAATCAGTTGTCATAGACAACAGTGATATATATCCCCACTTCAAAAAATAAGGAACAATACAAGTTTCTCAGGTGTTCAGGGCACATAAAGCTCATTTCCTTAGCTTTCATTTTCCTCTCAATTTTCTGTGGCTTAACCGATGACTTTTGAACAAATTTATCTCCAGAGAAAATCACCCCTAAAAACAGTCAGGAGGCCCATCGCCATTTTGGAAATTGATGCCTACACTTCATGGCAAAAGAGAGCAATTTGGAGGGCCCCTTTTGGTCCGATACTTTCAGAGATACCACCTGACCGTCAAGCCCTGCATTTCATCCACCTTTTTAGCAAACTACCCAGTCCACGTGCCACGAAACCCACTAATAGCAGAGAATTTGACAGCATGCAAATCGGCATTCAGTCCGCGCAGGCAATTTTGCACCTATTTACTGGCCTGCAACCTGTAAACTGCCCAAAAACTGGAATGTTCCCCCCAGAAAAAATGTAGGAGAAAGGAAAGGGTGTGTTTAATCCAGTAGCCATGGAAAATGGAAAAACTTGTCTCCCACTGCAGTTGTAGGCCTATGACCTTGAGTGTTGTTATAGCATATGGCCATGTGTGTAATAATGAATTTCCAGCTTCCCCTGTTGCTTTCAATAGCAGCTAGTGACTCCAAACTAGGGTTGGTTATTTCGAACTAGGGTTAGGTTTTGCATTTAGGCTTAGTTTTCCCCTAATTAGGATTAGCTTCTGATGATAAGAGTTACACTATGTTTAAATTGGCGGGTGCAGATGCCCAATTTATATCATTTCAACATCACAACTCTATGCTGGCCCTGTTGGTTCAAGGCATCCGAGAGTTTCAAGTTTGGTGAAGGCACTCGAAACAATTATTTCAAAAGTCCTGTTCAGTATAACCCAAAGACAATTATTAGACAAAATTTTTCACCAAGACACGACCTGATGATTCATTTTAGCATCTAGATGAAAATCATCTGGTTATAAACGCCGTTCCATTTATAGGAGAGGTCACAACTTCTTTTACCGCAAGTCGATCCCATTAAAACGGTGGCGCTGTAACGGGGAAAGTTCCGCCCCACGAACCAGTCCATCAGCAGCCCCAGCGACGAGTTCGTCATGAAGCTCCCGCCGACGCCCGTCAGAACCCCAAACGTCAGATAGGCGTAGCTCAGGGCCGGCACGAATGACGTCATGAACAGACCTGCGCAGACGGTGACCACCCCTGTCAGGACAACGCCCCTTCTGCTCAGCTTTCGACCCAGTTGCAGGGTGAGTGGGCTGGCGAGGCAAATCAAGGCGTGCGAAAGAGATCCAACCCAACCTGTGGACAAAATATACAACTACAGTACAGGCAACTTTGAGCAATGACCATTTTTATGTTTTACCTGGTACGAAGGATTTCGTTTGTGCACAAATCGGCTATAATGGTCGACACAAGTTGTAAAGGTCGGAGGAGACCCTTAAAGGGACGACACAAAGGCTGGGCCCACCAACCCACTGGTTCCCACCTCCGTATTTAGATCTGGTAATCTTTAGCAAGACAGTGAAGGGCTGGGAACCCGCCACATGCCACCATCCCCGCAAGCGAGTTACAAACGGCATAATTATGCCAACCGGTCAAGTGCAAACAACAACTATACCAGGCAAGATACGGGACGGAGGGGTACCCCCTTACCTGTCCAATCCCTATACACACTCTAGACTATTGTTACCTAACACATCCACCCTGGAAGTCTGTAAAGAATTCCTGAGATTCTGACCAAACAATGACCAACGCAAAGGCGGGGGGGGGTTCTCTCCGTCCCATATCTTGCTTCAAATGACAACAACAACCGGTACGGTGGTTGGCCCGCCTACAGGTCGATGCTATGGAGTGCCAAGGTGTGACGTCATTTTGAACCAGAAAGCGTTTGAGTGCAAACGACTGGAGTGCACGCCTGTGTTGGTTCATGCGCTGGCCCTCGCATAAAAGCCTTTTTCACTTTGAAGGGAACTAAGTGATGTCCTCTTTGTTCACGCTTTATAAAGCCCATGGTGCACCTGCACGCTCTCACCTGTAGCTGCCGAACCTGAGTGGAATTCACTCTGTAGACTGACAAAAAGAATGCTGTAGTTGTACAGAAACCCGAGGCTCAGGAAGAACTGAATGAACACTAGCCAGGGAATCAGCCACCGCCACCAACCGCATCGGGCCTGGCAGCAAGCCATGACAGGTGACCCTCTACACGTCCTGACGCAGACTCCGTGCAGACTCGTAAAAAAGTAGCCTTTTCAGATCAGCCTGCGGATTTGGAAAGTAAAACCTGACCACAGGTGTATAAAATCTTTTTTTTTCCAAAAGCCCTGAAATACACCCACGTGTCTCAACCTTATTTCATTTCTTTTTTGCTATCTGAAAGGGTATTTGAAGTGCCTCGTTGGTTTTTATGTCCATGAGACCTCTTTTCTTTCATGAGCGAAACTGTGGTGTCATGCTGGAAAGAAAGCACTGACATTTAATTCACTTGTACACAAAAATGTGCCGTGAATTTTCATATTTTGCTGGTCTAAATTTCCTGTCCGGGTCTTTGGTGATTCGTTGCTGTGTAAGTACTTGGCGACAAACCCACGTGAACCTTTTCAAAAGTGTGGCCCGCTTTGTGAAAATGAGTCACATGTCGCCTGAGCCACTTTTGAGTTAAAGGCCTTTAAAGAATCAACTATCCAATCTAACACAACGCAACACTCAAAGTGGCTCCGATGACTTCTGTAACTCATTTCTACAGAGAGCGTCACAAATGTTTCTAAAGGGTAAATTTTGGTTTCAAACATTTTAATCAAAAAGCCTAGCCAGTGAAATGTGTTTTTCGGATTACATCACACAACAGTCTGTGTCAGTTGTCCAGAAAAGCCTCCGTATATAGTCAATTTTTAGGATATAAAAGGTGTACCCTTCAACGCACTTAACCCAGAAGGGATGTCAAATTGTATTTACACAAAGAAGAGTGGTATAATCGTGCACAAAAAGTTTGAGCATGAATTTTTCATCGCTGGAACCCTTGCTAGGATGCATAATAATGAGATGTTTACCAAACTGTGACTGACATCTTTTGGACTCGTGAAACGGCAATTTGGTTTCGAAATGGAAACTTGCCGTATCAGATTTTGGATTTTCGAATCTGGAGAGTCCCAAAATTTGCCGAACAAAAAAAACAAAAAAAAATTGGAGCGACGGTAATACTGTCGCAATGAGAACATGACATTTGGCCAAGCCCCTCATAATTGTTTGAATTTCTACAGCTGTTCACTTCCAAGAGGGAGTACACGTCATTTTTTGCTTAACGAATAAAAAAGCTTATGCCACTGCCGTGAAAACTAGGCGCATATAGGCCTGCAGTGGTAGTTAAAACAGGCGACTTCTGTTGATACAGTGAGAGCTAGAGCATTTTGCGGCCAAAAATAAAACGTGAAGGGATTGCACAGTAAAACCAATCGGTAGCTTATTTGAGTTTACTCTCCGTGCATGGCTGCTCACACAGTGTCATGTAGGCCTCAGTGGAGAGTGGGAATCGGTTTACGTTTCCACTTCATTAAGTGGAAGGGTCGAGTAACATGCCAAGCCAATGCACTCACCGTGGTTGTGCCGACCTCTCCAAATGTTTCTCCAGTATATCTTGAGGTACTGTATGAGGTGTACACGAAATTCTGTTGTTCGACAAATTTGCTCTACAGCGGTGAAACCGACGTGACCGATGGGTTTTCCGTGTTGTAATGCGCACTACTACCGCACCCTATCCCGCGCATTTACGATCACACTGCCTCTTTTTGCACATCGGGAAAGGCAAAACTGAATCCTGGTTATCAAGTGTTTTAGGCCCTAATTGTTTGTTGGCAAAGCAACACCTCACATTGTGAGATCCCTCCCTCGAGGGGTTGACATGGCAGGACCAGCAAAATTTCAACCAGCCGATCGATATTAACTTGTCCTCTTGCCGAACAAGTTGATGGCCACAATCCGAGTGTTTGGTCATGCGATTTGATATGAGTTGACTCCGTAGCCAATATTGACCTCTCTGGTGGCGAACGAAAGTAGACTTGATTCAAGTCGGAATTTCTTTTTTTTTAAGCCACAGCACAACCCCCTTCCCCGGTGGGTAGTACGCGTACGCACGTGGTGGGGATGGGTGTTACGCGGACTGAGAAGGTTCCATGCAACGCACAGGCAAGACGCCAAAACATCATGGCAAGGTGCGATCTGTGCTTTTTAATAATTTTTTTTACTTTCTCACATTGATACCACTAGCTCCAGCTTCAAGCTCTAGACATCAAAAATCATTATAAACCGAAAAAGTTCACCCCATCACGTGATACTTCCACCAATGATGGGATACGCCAACTATAGTATCGTCTGTTTCCCTGACTTGAAGATGACTCCTGACGACTCTTGGTAAAATCTTTGGCGCGGCATCGTTAACGGTTCAAATTAGTTCATGACGCAACATGTCAGTGGTCTCCAAGGAAACCCCGTCTAGCTTGGAGGCTATTTGTTTATTTATTTTACTTTCGGGATGTTCTTTTGTGCAAAATACACTATGGCGTGAAATACACAAGTGAAAACTCACATTTTGTCTTGATTCTTGAAATAACAATTCTCTTACAAATTGATGGACAATCAATTCAAGCAAAGGTTTGACCAAAATACCAATAACGAAACCTTTCTGTGTACAGTTGGAGAATGGAAAATGACTGGAACAGCAAGTTAAATTCTCGTGGATTCTATTTTAGCCCGTTTCTCTGATCTTGAATTTAGCACCTAGTCTACAAGTTGCTTTTCAAATTTCAAAGGTACAATTTCCCGAGGATCTCTTAAAAGAAAGGGCAAAAATTAGCATTTCTCAAGAGCGCGGAGGTTGAAGGTATAAGTGAGGAAAAAACACGAAATGGCTTAGTGAATTTCAAGTTCAAGATGAAAAACATATGCTTTGTTGAATGTGCCCCATGTTATGGACCCCCGCCCGATGCCATGCTACATTTTTGGACATCACTATTGTAAGGGGAATTATTGTACGGAGCCAATCTTTGTCACTGTCTAAAAAAGGCTTTCCACCATTTAAAGGAATCATTTTCAGACATTGTCGTCGAACGTCTCTGGGTTCCTCTCTATATAGGATTTGCATGACTGCCATGTTGCAGGCCAATGCTGTTGTTTATCATGGTATGCACAAGGAAAGTTCCCCGTAAAACAATAGAACTGTTCGGCAAGATGGCTACCACTCAAAGCCTCTATATGCTTAAATGTAGCGTGTTGTGTATGCATACTATGTCAAACATGCAGTGGTGCGGCCAGCCGGACTTTGGAGATACTCAGGCTATATCTGAACAGGCTGCTCTGCCACACCGTCCACGCGATCTGCACTTCCTGTGTACGGGAATAGCCGCAAACGTCGCCGACGCACACACGAAAAGGACGGCGATGACCAATATGCCGAGGGTGTAGTTACCTGTGGAGTCGTACAGCACACCTGGGCGGAGATCAGATTGAACACCTGTTAGCACTAATCTGTATTAAGGCCATGTCAGCCGATCAGATCGCCTCAGCTGCCATATGCAGCAAAGTATGAGACGGAGAGAACCCCCCCTGCTTTTTGTTGGTCATTGTCTCG